CCTACCATTTGACGGAAGCTTCCCCCTTGCAGCCGTCACTCCCTCCCCCTGCCTGCCTTAACCCCCTCCACCAGTGGGGCAGGTCCAGTTCCCAATTGTTGCCAACTGACCTTCTGTCTGCTCCCAGCAGCTCAAGGGTCTCCTGGGGTGCTAGTGAAGGACCTCATGATCTGAGGCCACCATGATCTGAGGCCGTTCTTGGGCTCTGGGTTGTTGCTTGGGCAAATGGGGCACTGCCCCGCCTAGTCCAACCTGCCCTCAGCCAGCCCCTACCTGCCTGCTTTTTGGCTTGCCTTAAATCCACATGGGGATTAAATCTTAAATCTTGGCCATGGGGAGGCTGTCAGCTTCCTTCTCCATTTCACTGCTGTCCTTGTAGAACTCAGCAGGGTGGAGGAAAGCTGGGATAAGTTGGCTCTGCCTGTCATAGGTTCTGGTGCAACCTACTGTTGGGCTCCCTGCTTTCTGTCCTACCAGGCCCAACAGGCACGAGCCACCATTGCCTTGCAGTCCTGCCCTCTGCAGCTGGAAACTTTCAGATGGTCTGCTTGGCAATACCATCCCTTAATCCTGGGAATCTGCAGTTTGGTCTGAGTTGAGGGAAAGGCAGTCTGCAGAGGCCCAGGGTCATCCTTTGCCTTATTAGCTATACAAATTGTCCTGGAGGGAAGGGGAAAGTGCAAGTGGGTCTGTCTTTTGAGGAGGATTGGATGGTTTTGTAGTCCCAGTTCTCCAACACCAAGTTCACAGGTGCTCAAGGTAGGCTCTGGAGCCAAAACCTGGCGAGACCGGGCTCAAATGCTTTAGAAAAATAAATATTGATGTTCTTGTCCTTCTGGGACTTTTAATTAAAAATAGGTTCTGGGGCTAAGCCCACGCTCTGGTTCAGACTTGCATAAAGATGCCCCCAGAGATGTTGGTGGCTTTGGTTTGGGGCAGTTCCAAGGCGAGGTGCTTGTTGTGTCAAACCAACGACGAAGATTCAAGAGAGCAGCTCCCTGGCGGGAAAGCCTTGGAGGTTTGGCGGCAAAACTCACCCACTGTATTTGTTTTGCATGCATGATAAATGCAACCTCTCGGAATTTGGACTTTTGCCCTTCTTTGAAGCGGAGTGGGAGAGTGGCGGTTAGGAGAGCAAGCCACCTGAGACCAGGAGGCAGCGCTTTGGGCTGGCTGCCTGGAAAAGTTTGCCGTTGTACACAGTGGAGTGTGTGCACTTTAAGGGAGTATCTTGCTTAGCTTCTCAGGGGAGAGGTGCTCAGGGCTCTGGGATCACTGGAAACCAAGGCCTTGTTCCCTGGAAACCCTTCTCCCACATCCTGCTCATGTCCGGGAAGATGTCTGCGAGTGCCACCGATAAGCTTAGATCAGGGATTTTCCAAATACATACTGTGGTACCCCAGAGAAGCTCAGTTATGGCAGGCAAACCTTTTGGAGAGTCAGCTCTCATCCCCTGCACTGCACAACCACAAGGGGGGCCTTGGGTGGGTGTAATCTGTCAGTTGGCTCAAGGCAGCAGCAAGGAGCTGAGCATGACTCAAATGCATACTATGGGTGGTCATGTCCCAGAATCCTTTGCAATGGACAGAGGCCCCTCAGCAAAGAAATTGTCGTGGAAAGGTAGAAAATGTGGGAAAGATGAACATCCCTCATTGGGTGGTCCTTGAACTTTCATATGGTCCAACACAGTGGTGGGTTTTTCTCCTGGGCCGGTGTGATTGGAGAGGGGACAGGGCACATTTTCACTTGTTTCTAGATCTGCCTACAATATGAACGAACAGTTGCACTATTTTACTTTGGAGATCCATCCCACATTTTTTGTGTAGGATGTTGGTGGTGGTGGTATACTGGCCTTCATCCAAAGATCTCAGGGCAGTTTGGTAGTCCAAAACAGCTGGAGGGCACCAGGTTGGGGAAGGCTGGGCTTGTTTGTAAAAGTGGTCTAAGGGCCTTTTCACACATGACATGAAACCCAGGTTTGCACCAAGAATATATGGGTACAATACACATGTTTGTAACAATACACATGTTTGTGCAGGCCTAGAGCACAGCTCCAGTTTGGGCAAGAGAGTGCCATAGTCGAGGCAATTAACCAGTTGTTTGTGGTACCCAAGTGCCCCCTACCTGCCAAGGGAGGCAAGACAGGAGCTGGGCTGATTGAGCAAAACAGCGCTTGTAGCCATAAGCCACAAACTGGCATGGCGGCTGGTGCCCATTGTGACTGGTAGAACGGAAGGCGGGGATCCCGACAGGTGGCGCCAAGGCCAATAACAAGTAGAGCCAACTCATGCTAGTTTTGACCCCATCCTCCTCCCAGCCATGTTCTACAAGGGCAGCACTGAGAAGGAGGAAACTGGAAGGCAGGACCACCCCCTGGACTAGTTGTAAGCAAGAAGGCAGGCAGGTATGGGCTGGCTGAAGGCAAGCTGAGGTTGGTGGGGCTGCCTCTACTACACCACAGTGTTGAGTTAACCGCCACAGCCTGATGGGTGTGAGGGTCCATCTTCTGACATATAGATGGCTCAGGCCACTGGGTTCTGCCGGTGGGTCCATTTTGACCATATCATGACCTACAGAGTCCTATCTGGTGGGGGTGTGAAGGAGAGCCTTCTTCACTGTGGCACCTGTCATGCAAAAGGCATTCCCTGTTGAGATCAGGTTGGCACCACCTGTGAGGTGTTTTCACCATCCATTGGACACATACATACCTGTTCACCCAGGTATTCCCTGACCCTTCATATTGTTAATACCATACCAGGCATTGTGGCAATTATTGTTTATAAGCCATTGAGTTGCATTCGACTAAGTTTTACTCAGAGTAGTCCCATCGAAATGAATGGCCATGCATAACTTGGACCCATTGATTTCACCGGGTCTGCTCTGAATAAAAGTTAGTTGACTGCAACCCTTTGTTGCTTTGTTATTGTGCCAATTACTTTGGCATTTCTTTCTGTAAATGAAAAGCAGTATAGAAACTTTTCAATAAATAAATACCGTAAATAGACCTCAAGGCAGGGGAAGCGTGTTGCCATTGTGCCCTGGATAACAATGGGGTGTCAGTTAGTGGCTGTGGCTAATGGAGCCCAGTTGATTTTGATCGGATTCAGTGTGATTGAGCTTTAGCCAGAAGAAAGGTTAGCATCAAACAGTATTACCAAAATATTGTCACTCTTTATTGACATAAATCAAGTGTCAGTGGAACAATGTGGCTGTGTGTTTTGTATCCAGAGGAAGCATTTGGAAATCCAGAGTTTCCCCTCCCTCAAGTTGTGGCTCTAGCTTAAAACAACAAATAAATTACCTTTTTATTCATAGTCCAGTAGTCTCATGTAGCCTCCCCCAACCAGGTACCTTCCACATGCTTTGAACTACAACCCCTGTTGGTCCCAGCTGGCACAGCAAAACATCTGGAGAGCACAATCTTGTTATTGATCAGTGGGTGAAAAGGGGTCTTTAAAGCCATTCATAGGCCATGATGGGCATTGAAAGAGGTGAATGGCCTTGAGATGCTAAACCCACTAGTCAACAAAGGGACAGGTAATATTGTTTTGTTTTTTAATCAAGAGTCAGAAATTAAGGAAACGTGGACCGTGCTCTGAAAACTCTGAAGGATGAGTTTCCTGATTTGTAATAGCAGATGGTGAAGATAATATCGAAACACATCTACATTTTTAATCTTATTCAGGTGTGTGTGTGTATGCCCATACATTACCCAGCTACATGAGCTATTAAGGCTTGATTTAAGTACTGACAATATTTTGATAATGTATAATATATCAATGTGAACCCTTTTTTCTGTTGTGCTATTATTTTGGATAAAGGAAAGAATGTGGCTTTTGTGCTCAGATCTGTGGGTCAGATTACACAACCACTTTACATCTTGTCACTTTCTTCTCCCTATCCACCTAGATTACTCCCTACTCCTAACAAACATGTCTGAATAATGTGTTTGTGTGCACATGCACACAAATCTCTTTTGATCACCTTTGCCCAAGCCTTGTTTGGAACATGAAATAATAAAAAAAAGGGACCCCTCTGAGCATGTGCATTTTGCCAACATAGCAAAACAGACAACCAGGCAAGTCTCTCACACAACAGATTATTTTTTTCTTTTTATTTTATTTGACACAAAAATGTACAAAATAACAGGTGAGTGGATTTTAATTGTTTATATTAAAAATCTAAAAGGTGTGACTGAGCCATTTTGAATGGAATCAGTGTTGAAGATTTTAATGATGATGTCCACCATCATCATCATCCTGCATCAATCATCCTAGTCATTCCTGATCAACAGTCATTTTCCAGACACATTATTTACATCTTAAACAGGAGAACATCTCTCCGTCTTTCTCACTTAGCCCCCCACCCTCCTCTGGAGTCTGGGCTAGTTCAGGAGATCCATCTCTGGACCTCTCAAGAGTTTAGGAACAGACCTTCCACCTGGTTCCAAGATGGTGGTTCAACCTCTTACCAGGTTGGGCCAAACCCTGCCCCCTTTGTCCCTCCTGAAGCTTGGTCAGACTCGATGTCAGCCTTTCAGGGCTGAGAACTAGACATGTCACATCAACATGGGTGGGACGGGGACTGGAACGGTGAACATGGCCTTGGCAACATGGCGCTTCTCTGGCAAAGCTGCACTTCTGCCAGAGTTGAACATGGAGTGTCTTGGGAGATGGGACAGATTGGCACTGAGCTGGAAGGATTATCTCTCATAATTTTATATATATGTTTGTGTGTGTGTATGTATGCGTGTGTGTGCATATATATATATATTTATTTGTTTATATATATATATATATTTATTTAAAATCTCCCCCCTTCTCTCTTCTTCTTCTTCTTCTTCTTCTTCTTCTTTCTTCTTTTACAAAATGACGAATATGATGGCCAATGGTTATTTATAGCAATATGTCAACATTAAAATTTCTGCTGAAGGTTCCATGGAGAAATCCCCTTCTTGGGTCTCTGGTGAATGCCACCCACCCCTCGGCTGCAGGGGGTGCTCATTGCAGCAAGGCCCGGATCTGCTTGGATGTGGTGTCATCATTGAGGTGCCGGGTGGTGTACCTAGGAAGAAGCAGGGAGGCAGTGGGAAAGGGCACACCAGTTGTAGAGAAAAGAAGCCAATTGTGCTGGCCGCTGTGGGAACAGGTGCAATACACGTCTAAGCCCCTGATCAAAGGTAAAAATGTGGGATTTCTTAGTGTGGGACTAGTTTGGCAGAAAGGAAGCGTGGATATAAGGGGAGTTTGCCGGTGAGTAGAGGGTAGGAACCTGAATGCCCAGGTGTAGCCAATAGCTGAACCTCCAGGTGCTGTTGGACATCAGCTCCCATCAGGCCCAGCCAACATAGCCAATAGTCAGGGATGATGGTAGTCCAGCAACATCTGGATGGCCAAAGGCTGCCCACGCCTGGACTAAAAGGTAGGTTTCTGTGATGCTGGCCAAAGCAATTAAAATGCCAGTTGTTGGGGACGGGGAAGATGCAGTGTCCCTGAACAGCATACAGTGGTCTGAGTGTTGAGAAACTGCAGCTCCCTTGATACCAAAGCACCGGCTGGTGGGCAGGAGCTAGTATGGAATCCAGGACTCAGGCCAGCCCCTCCTGTGCGATGCACACTGGAAAGGCTGCTGGCCTCAACTCCCCAGCTGTAAAATGGGAATAATGGTCTGCCCCACAGGATAATTGTGATGTGAGGGCAATGCACGAGGGAGTTCCTTCTGTGAAGCCAGGACAATGGTCATTTAGTAACAGTCAACTTCTCCAGTTCCTGCCACAGCACTCCTTCAATAAGAACTGCTCATGTCTACAAAACCAATTTCAGTTTCTGAAAATCCTTCCATGCTATCTATCTTCAACTCCAGCACCTGCCTAGGCTGCCAAGTCATCCCAGTGCAATCCTGGTGCTTGTGCAAGGTGTGTGTGTGCGTGCATGTGTGCATGCGCTTGCAGCTCTTTTCTGAGAGCTGCAGCAGACCTTTTCTGGTTGCCAAAGCCCATTTCCTCAAAGGTGCCTCTTGGGCTGCCTTACCTCAGTGCATTCAGAAGGCCTTCTGTGCTGTTGGAAGGCTGGTCTTTCAAGACCTTGATACATCCTTTCATCTACCGGCATTAAAAAAGAAAAAGAAAAAAAACCCTTGTTAGTCAAATTTCAAAGGGGGGAAATGTTGGAAAAGTGCACCCACTTATACTGACAACAGTCCCTTTGTCTGTGAGCAGATTCATGAGATTTGAGAAAGGCAAAACACGGTCTTCCAGAACATGTGGATATGGGAGGTGCAGCAAGAGAGGGGGAAAACCCCACATTTAGACTGGAATGGAAAGTCCCACCCAGCATGGTTCTTCTGATGCTTGGTTGCTCCTATGGATCTTTGCTCGTCCTTCCCTTTAAAAGCTAATTGAGGATCAACTGTCACTAAAAACACTGGAGGCTCCAGCCTTCCCCTACCTGGTGCCCTCCAGGTGTTTTGAACTACAACACCCATCAGCCCCAGTTGTTAAGGCTATATTATTTTGAGGCTGCTGAGTTGTAGTCCAAAACATCAAGAAGGTCAAGGTCATCAAAGGCTGGCTTGTCAGCTCCCTGAGTTTCTCTGACTGATGTTTCTATATGAAGAGAGAAATGTCACTCACGTCAATTTTGGAGGTCTTGGCGAAAGCCCCCACAGGATGGACATGGTCATAAAGAATGATGACCCCCACCATCACCCGCATGCAGAAAAGGAGAGTTTCAGTGTTGGTGAAGCGGCTCCGATATTCCCTGTTGCAAACAAGAAAGAGGTTCATGAACAAGCCTCCTTGGACCAGCTGCCATGCCCCACATTTCCTTCCCAGCTTTCCTGGGGAGCTCATACCATGGAGCTGCTAAACACAGCCTAAAGACTCTAAAAAGATGTGATTTCCTGTATGGGTCCCTTAAAGTCATCTAGTGGGTGGGGGCTTGCTACAGATGCCTGGTCCAGAGGTCAAAATGCTGGTGACCAGGAACAGGGCCTTTGCAGTGGTTGCCCCTCTGATGTGGAATTCCCTCCCTAGAGAGGCTCACCAGGTAAGTAGCTTTGCGGCATGTAGAAGGCTGACCAATCCCATTGTACGGTGGCCCTTGGTGATTCTTTGTTTACATTTTTGCACATTCATTTGATAATAATGATAATAATAAATGTGGCCCCGGTGGCCACTCCCAGTCACCAGTCTAGCAGCCACATTCTGGATTAATTGTAGTTTCTGAGTAACCCCATATTTTTAACATGGGGTCTCAGTTTAGTCGGGTTTTAATTGCAATTGTCCATTGTGTGGCTTTTTAGACTCTGCTGTATGTGTGCAACCCTGAAGGCCACTTTTCTCAGCCTTTGGGGCCTATAATCATGTAGGGCATTGTACTCACGGCGTTTCCAGCATCACCCGGCAGACACAGGCCATGGTGCTCAAACAGTCAGTCGTGTCCTCAATGGGAAGAGTTTTGTTCTGAAAGGAGACCCAGTTTGCATGCTGATTACCCCCTGTTCTTCCTCCCCAGGGAGAGAGCAAGCTGAATATCTGAAGGGAGAGAGGCAGCCCCAGTCCCTGTGCCACCACAGCACAGATTCCTTGGGGTGGATTCTGCCCATCAACCCACCAGCTAGTGTGCAGTGTTAACCTTGCATGAACAACCAAGCAAGCCTGGACTTTGCAGCAGGCTGTCATGTTAAGGTGGTCTTGGCAACTCTTGCCTCTGTCTTCTTTGTGCCTTGGGAGGCATCACTCACCTCTGAAACAAATTTGGTCGTGGCATTGCTGAGAGTCTTCAGCATTGGGGTGGCCTCTGCGTAGAAGAGGGACATGCGGTTGGCCATTTCGTTGTTCACCTCACTCTCAGCGTCTAACTGCAGGGCAGGAACGGAGATCAGTTGCAGCAAAACGTTGCGGCATGGAGGGCTTCTGTTTAAGGTCCCAGCAACTCTACTCCATCAGTTTTTCATCGCCTTCCCACCAAAATCAGCCAACATTCCATGCCCACTGGGCATGCTCAGTCCTTACTAGGTTGTTTCTGTTGTTACTTTTGTGTGTGTGTGTATGTGTGTGTGTTGGTGGTAGAGGGTGGGCACCATGTTGCCCAACCCCAGCTACCTTAAAATGTTGAATTTCTATGTTTATTTCTATGGACAGCTCTCATTTCCATCCCTGGGGACATTTAAAAATAACTTCTCAGTGTGAAACAGGAAACCACCTATCCAGACGAGATAGTTCATTTTCCTCTTTTTATATCTATGTCTCTCTCCTTTTCCAGTCATTCCGTTCCATTCCCCCTCCCACTTGGCTTTCCATTATTCTTTTTCTTGACAGAGCTCATCCACACTTTTGCTTGACCCCTAATTTGATTGTGTTGTGTGCTGATTAATTCTCCCAGATCCGAGAGCTTTTCTCACTGTGTCTTGCGAAAATCCGATCTTGCCTGCTGAATTGGATATGCAGAAAATCCAAAGAGTGATTTTGCTTAATTGAGCTTCAGTTCAGCAGGTAAGTTTGGATTTTTGCAAGGTACAGCCTTTGGAGAACAAGAAACGCTCTTGGACCTGAGGGAATTAATCAGTACACAAGGCAATCAAAATATGGGTCAAGAGGAAGTGCGGATGAGCCCTGGCTCTCAAGTGAACATACTCTGTTTGCTCTGACATCTCTGCACATTTCCACTTGCATGGCAGCTTCAAGTTCCCACCATTCCTTTGCCATTAGAATTTCCATTCATTTTGCCCAGCCTGGGTTTTTCCTCTGCCTCCCAGCGAAAGGAAGGAACCGTTCCTTACCTGCAGGTTGTTGATCCGGTTTCGACTGATGGTTCTTCTATAGTAGCTAAAATCATTCTGGATGGCAGGGTTGGTCATCTGGGAGACAGAGAAGGGAGACTTCATTCATGGAGAAGATGAAGCAGAAGACTTTTCTCCACATATGGGAGGGAAAGGGATGGTGATGGTGTGTGTGTGTATGTATTTTGCAGGCTACATCTGCACCTGTGCCAACCATCCAGAGTGGGTGCTGTGCAAAGTGCCTAATATTGTTCAACAGGAGCAAGAGTCAGAAGACCCTATGGGAGGTTTTTTACTTGTTATTATGCATGTGTTATTATGATCACATTCCCTGCTGCCGCTGGACCAACCACTGTTGGCGGCTGCTCCTCCCACACGTACCTTGAGCTCGTCAAAACTGAGGGTGAAGTGTAAGATTTCTGCAAACTGTTTGGCGAGAGCCTGTTCCCTCTCCAGGTGCTGAGTCGGGGCGTAAGGTGGGCTGGTGAGAGCTTCCAGCAAGCTCCGCAAGGCATTCTCTGGGAGAGACAGGAGGAGGGGAGATGGTTAAGTTGGGCAGCAGCCCCCTCACCTGGCCAATCCCTGCACAGCTTGCAGGATTAGTGCAATTTACATTTTAATGTGAACCTGCCAAAGCTTTGCTTCTGGAACCAAAGCACAGCTTCTCCTTCGAAAATTCACACCAAAAATGTTTATAGTAATGAGAAGGGCATGCAGAAGCAAGTATTTTCGTGAAATCATCATAAAGAAATGCATTGTATTAGGGACAAATTGCCTCTTAAAAATGTATATGCTAAACAAAGTCATGTACCCAGATTGGCATATTAGGAAGAAAGACATTTTCATGTGACACTGTTTCCTTATGTTAAAAAAAAAAGAGAGAGAGAAGTTTGCAAACTAATGTGGAAGTAGGTCGAACTGGACTGAAGATGAGAAGAATGAGAAAATGAGAGAACGCCCCCTCTTGCTGGGATGTGGGAGGGCACTTACCAAGTCTAAGAGAAAACTCATAAAAACGCTTCAGCTTTGCCACAAGGGGACACACGGCGTTCCATGCCTTTTCTTGGAGCTGCAAGTCACTGGGGTTTTGGATGGCCTGTGATAAAATAACACAAGCTGCTAAGTTTTCTTCCTGAAATGTTAGCTTTGCAAAAGTACAAAAATCATTGTGGGGAGAGGGGAAAAAATTCAGACCACTTGCTAGCATTGCTCCTAGCTCTGGGATATGAGGGTCAGCTTTGGGAAGGGCTCAGGTCATACCATGACGGTTATGCTCTGCCCTCCACAGTCCGAGGCAGCAATGTTTCTAAATACTAGTTGCTGAATAATCTGGTTGGCCACTGTGAGACCAGGATGCTGGACTGGGTGGGCCACTGGCCTGATCCAGCAGGCTCTTCCTAGTACCTCTCTGATCTCTTGCCCAGCTCCGGTGTAGGACTGCAGTTCCGCCAGGATGGTCTGCGCCTCCTCTAGGACAGCGTTCACCTGGTTCCACACAGCTGTCTCGGCTTCTGTGGGCTGTGCATCTGCAGCGAACCCCACCCAGAGAGAAAGGGAGAGGTCAGGACACTCGTGCTGCAGGACACTTTCTCAGCCCAGCCCCAGGGGGAAGGGAGGGAGGGACATTGGGATGGCTTGCTTGGAATGAGGGGGTCCAAGAGCTCCCTCGGCCTGGTCAGGGGTTGGGGGGGGCAACCCAAGGAATGTCAGGGGGACCAGGCGAGTAGCCATTTGCAACCAGAGAGTTCTGCCTCCCCCCAAGCCCCTTGGCATCATGGGCAAGGCTTGTCGGGTGTACCCAGGTCACATTGTGCAACCGCCTGGGGAGGGGATGAGGTCTTGGACTGCCCCCAAAGAGCACTGGGAAGCCATGGCCCGGCCTGTGAGCTGCAACAGAGCCCCTCTCTTGCATGTTTTTCTCTGGGAAGCCCACAGACCACCCTTACCATCTGTAGCCCTCCAGACATTTTGGACTACAGCTCCCATGAGCCTCAGCGAGGGCTCATCCACAAATGTCAACTGGGTTTTCCACGGATTGACGTTTGCTCTGATTCAGTGGTTAAAAAGTGGGTTTCCCCAAAGAAAGCGGCCAAGCAAACTGAAAACCACTTGGACATGTGCCTAGAAAGCATGGGAAAAGCAGAAAACCTCCCAGACACGTACTTCCTAGGTACAGAACAAACGTAAAAATGGACAAACCCTGACTCATATAACCATGCTGGCTGGGGCTGATGGGAACTGTAGTCCAAAATATCTTGAGGGCAACAAGCTGGGGAGGGCTGCCACAGACCTTTGGCCCTTAGCTATACCGGGAAAATATTAGAAAATAAATATACAGGAGGACCAAAAAGAAACCACAAAGTATAAAAAACAAAACTCTAGGAGGCACTAAGCCAATGGCATCCTAGGCAGTGAGCTGCCCACCACTCTCCTCCCCAAAGCAGGGCTCCACGACTGTTGGCCTGCCTGCCCGCCTTAGCTAGCGCTAACTCGTCTTCCATGCCTCTCTCCCCAGAATGCATACCTTCAGCAGCCCTAGGGCCCACCAGTTCTCATGCACACCCTATGAGAGCTTGAGAAGGGGGAGGGGGTCAGGCACACAGAGCCCACCTACAGCAGTCCAGGTCCAGGCTGGTGTCTGCTTGTGAGGAGGTGTGGCAATGTGCCATTCAAACCCCGTAAGTTAATTGTTTGGCAACGCTGTCTGGACACCGCAGGGCTGCTAAATGCCTCTTCACTGAGATGCTAGCACAACTCTAACAAATCCTGGAAATGTGACTGCAGTCAGGCCATCACTCTGGAGGAGATGCAGACTGCTGCCTATAGGACGTCTCCAAATGTGGGAGCTTCTGAGCGCTTTGCTGGAGGAGAAGCCTTACTTTCTGGCCCATCACCCTCCCCTTCAGAAAACAACTGTCCACTATCCAGGATTCTGAGAAGGTCCACCAATCTCTTCCCTTGCCCCACCTCCTTTGCTCTCAGTGTGATTGGCTACTGCCCTTTCCCACTGCTATATAATTATCATCTTGCCAGAAAGAAGGCATTGCACCTGCAACAGAAGCATATTTCTGCTGTGCACAGCCCAGCAGCCATTATCTTGTCTGGTTGCTGATTCCCTCCTCTGCTCTCTAGATCTCACCCTGAAGTTTCTTGGGGAATTCCACACGGCAGTTTATTGCTGACTCGGTGCTGCTCATTCAGTAATGTTTTTGCAGCATCCACATGCTGTCCCATATTATTCTCCTTTTTAATATGGAATTTTTGTTTTGTTTTTTTACCATTTCCATGGGAAATCTGGTAAGTAAATAACTTGTGGAAGTGGTAAATCTGGATAGGGATATGGGATGGCATTTTGGTGAGGTCAACATTGTGTGGCTGCTGCAAAAAACCCCCACTTGTATGCCTGAGCAGCGCTGAATCCACAAGAAACTGACCTGAGGATACAAGCCCTTGCCTCTACACCTCCACACAAAACGAAATAAATCAATTTTAATCATGAATTAAATCAATGAAAGAAAGTCATGAATGAAAACAAAGGCAAAAAAATAAAAAAATCCCTTCTCACGTTCAAAGTCAAGGAAAAAATTAGGGCCTTGGTCAAGCTCGTTATAAGTCAACACTTTAAGAAGGTTCCCCATGTGCTACCTGCAAGAGAAGAGACAAGAGGGAGAAAAGCATGATGGGTAGTGAGGTGGGGAAGGAAGGAGAGGTCTGTGGGAGAATGTCACTGGGAAAGGTGCCCCTTTCTGGGTGGCAGGAAGAGTCATTCAGCAAACAATTTCTACATTCAAATAGGACCACTAACCAGACGTTACGGCTTATTTGGCTGCGAGTGCTTGGTGATGAGGTGAACATGCCCACAAACTTTGTAGCATTCAGAGATATGTTTTAGTCAGTTCTCAATTAATTGGACCAGTGTCTGCCAGCCTGGTTCTTTCCTGGTGTACTGGACTACAACTCCCACTAGCCCAATGGAGTAGTAGCCCAAAACACCTGAAGAGAACCAGGCTGGCGAAGGCTAGACTACAGGGGAAGAAAATAAACAACTGTTGGTGGTCCACGTTTGAGTATAGAGAGGCCCACCCCACCTCTTCCTGCCCCTGAATGGAGATGTGCATTGACTGATGGGGAGGAAGACCAATGATAAGGAACAGAGGAGGACAAGAGTCACTGTTCTCCAACCAGATTTGGGGGCTAAGGGGAGCGTGGTTGTTCAACAGGACCTATGGCTGGCAAGTTTGGGAGAGTCTCATCAAAGGTTGAATTTATATGGCAGCCAAAGCATTTGCCCACATAGGGACTCCATTTAGCCATCAGGCCTTCGTTCGGCCCACACATTGGCACAAGTGTCGGTCATGTTTGCTTAGCAGGACCCAATAGCCTTGGCGGCCATAGCAACAGGCCAGAAATGTTGCAGGGCCTTTGTGAATCAGTCCTTACCTCTTTGGAAAGGGAACAACAGACTAAGCCCTGCAACAGCTTTCCCCAACCTGGTGTTCTCCAGATGATCAGCCCCAGTATCACACAGATATGCTGCTGGGGCCAATGGGAGTTGTAGTCCAAAAAATCTGGAGGGCACCAGGTTGGGAACACAGAAAGGGCATAAGAACAGCTGGCACGAAATGGTTTGCTGCTGCCCAGATCAGAGGCTGCCTTTTCTTTTCCCTCTTTGATGAGTCCAAGATGTCACTGACCCTAGAGTTTGGGGATTAGACCCATGAGTTCAAGGCCCAAATCTCTCCTTGGCTATGAAGTTCCTTGAGTAGTTTTGGACAAGTCTCTCAAACCCTGGCATTCCTTGCAGGTGTATTGTTTTTAAAATGCTGTTGATTTTGTTTCTGTGTTATTGATAATTATTTTATATTATTTTATGTATGCCACTTAAAGATTTTTATTATTATTAGTCAGTCTATGAATTTCTTCTGAAGAGAGAAAGAAAGATTGTGAAGACAGTCAACTGTAAAACACTTGGCACATGTTTGAAAAGTTGTGGAAATTGGCCCTCAGCTAGAGAAAGATATTTCTTTCCAACTCCTCTTGGAAACAATAAAACTTAATATAGTCCTTTTAAGTACTCAGTGTGATTCAGATACACTTTCACAGTAATCCTTTAACTGTCTCTTTCAGATAAATTAATATCCACATATTACAGATGGAAATTCCAAGGCCAATAAATAGTGGTCTGAGTGCGGTGAACACAATTTGAAGGAGGGACTGCCCAGTTCTCAGTTCACACTTTAGTTATTACACCTGACTGGGAACACCAGGGCATGATGGATGTTGGACGGGCTGGTCACAACTAATATTCATCCTATTGCTTTTAACAGGAAAAGTGCAACTTAACTTTCTATGCAAATAATAATAATAATAATAATAATAATAATAATAATAAATTAATATTCTCTTCCTAAGTGCCATTTTTGAAAGGTTAAAGTTCTTCTGTGTACACATGACTGTCTACTCTGGCCCTAGTGCGCTCCCACTGCTGGTGTTTGAAGCTGTGTACACATGATGTTAGCCACAATCCATATCTATTCTGAAGTTTCCTGTGAAAGACTGTGGTTTGATGCATCTTCCCTCAAACCAGCTTCCACCCCATTCACTTTATACTTCAGCTAAGACAGCTGGGGGGGGGGGCAGTTCCCAGGAATCTCTGGGAGCAGCCATGGCAGCTAAATTGCAAATCTGTAGTGTAGTTATGCCCAGTCTGTTACAGTGTCTGGTTGTCACTGCCTGCTGCTTCCCAACAAAGTCTTCTTTTTAAAAAAAAGTATATTGGCACCACCTCAAATATTTATATAGTAAAGTATGACCCCCAAAATTTGTGGAGAACAGCAACTCCTTCTGCCAGTAATCACAGACACCACCCCCGTCCCTCCTTTGCGCATGGGACTTACTTTCAAAATCCAGGAAAAAATGAGGACAGTTTTCTAAATCTTTGCCCAATACCTTTATCAGGTTGCCCATGGCCAGCAGACCTGAGCGGGAGAAACAGAACAGAAGATGGAAGAAAACAACCGAGGTAGAGAGAAAGAAAGAGAGATTGAGAGAGAGAGGAAGAGAAAGGCTGCAAGAAAGCCCCTCTGAGCACAGAGTTCCTCTAGAGGAGAAGGAGCAGCTCATGTGGTACCTTCCAGGTGTGGAACTCCAACTCCCAGCAGCCCCCATAGCCAATGGTCAGTGAGGGTGGGAACTGGGAGTGCGGGAACTTCTGGAGGGCACCACACTGGCTTCCCCTACTCAGAAACACTGGTCTTCAGTTGAGGGGTCGGAGCCCACGATTGGGTCACATGACCTGTTCTAAGGTGGGTGGCAGCAGCACCACTTCCGCCATGTAGATGTATGGTACAAAATTCAGAAATGGGTGTTTGAGTTAAAGGTGTTTACTGAGAGCCCCTTTTCCAATGGGGTCCCTGTCCATAGCCCCTTTTTGGCCCAGTGTAGACCCTCCTCCTCCTCAATGCTTCTCACCACCACCTTTCTCCTTCCTAAACCATCCTGCCCACAGCACCCTTGGGAAAGCAGGACCTCCCAGCTTACCTGCTTCAGAGAGAGCCCTCTGTCCTCAAACAGGTCCTCTCTGAAGGGCTTGAGTGAGTGAAGAGGACACGTGTCACTGCTGCTGCTGCAGGCAGCTCAGCTCTATCTGTATATCTCATTGCAGCCTTGTCTGTGTGGAAATCCCACAACCACTTCTATATTTTCTATTTTGGACTCCCAGAGGGAAGCAGAGTGTGCTGCGTTGCACCTCAGACTTCCTGTGAGAGCTTTCTGCGTGCTTCCAGAGCCCTCAGCCTCCACTGGACTTCCCCTTCCTCCCAGCTCAGCAGCAGAACAACCGTACCTCAGCAGCTTCAGTTCCACCACGCAATGCCTACAGCAGGGCTGGGGAGCCTGTGGCCATAGACATCTTTGCTGGACTACGACTCCCATCATCCCTGGCCATTGGCCATGCTGGCTGGGGTTGATGGGAGTTGAAATCCAACAACATATGGTGGGCTACAGATTTCCCCACCCCTTGACTAGGGTATGAATGGGCACTCGTTACCAAGGAGAGACCATAATCTGATCCTGGCAGTAGCCACCCACTAGCCCAATTTGCCCTCCTAAAGCTCTCTACTGGGGCAGCTCTAGGTTTCAGGTAAGGCACTTTCAGTGGGCCCTCTCCTCCATAGCATGTCTGCCTGCTCACTTTGTCCTCTCTTTCCAGGCCCAATCCATACAATCACCCAGAGGGAAAGCACAAGGCAGCGCTGAGGGTGCTGCTGCTGCTTGCATGCTCAGAGGAGGCAGGTGACAGCAAAGAGGAGTTGCAGCAGGGCTAGGAGTCTCCAGAGAGTTGCAGTGGCTCTACCTGCAAGTGTGTGGGCCTTGGCAAGTGCCCAACAAGGTCTATCCCTGACACTGTACAGGGTGATGTGAAGCCTTTCTTGACATCACTAACAGTGAATGAAGCAGTAAAGACTTGATGACTGCAATACACTCAATGTGGGGCTGCCCTTGGGCCTTGTCTGGAAGCTCCGGCTGGTGAAAAATGCTGCAACTAGACTGTTGGTGGAGACAGACTATTGCCAGCACATAACTCTGATGCTTAAAAGCTTGCACTGGTTGCCCATATGCTACCAGATCAAGTTAAAGGTTATGGTGTTAATTTACAAGACCCTTAACAACTTGGGCCCAGGACACTTAAAAGAGTTATAACTTTCCCTGATCATGGAGATCTTTGAGGGAATCACTGCTAGCAATCCAATGTAGTAATTGGTAATTACAGAGTTAAATATTGTCTCCAGTTATTATGAGTTGGTGCTAAGATTCAAACCTTCAGTTTCTTCTTGTGGTTACTTTCATTTTCCTGTGTTAGCCAGCTTGTGGATAAAAAGCCACTTGTTTTGGGCCTACAAGGTGAGTATCCTTGCTTTATCTGTCTATATACATAGAAATGTAAAGTGTTGTCATGCTCTGGAGTTTGCTTGCCAATAGACAGCCACACCAACCAATGGGCCTGCAGCAAGGTTTAATGGAGGACAGGAAACACTTCACACAGCAGTTTAGCAAGCTGCTCTGTGAAGCACTTCACTCTCCTTTAAAAGGTGGTGGGGCCTGGGGTGAGCTTGGGTGGGGGGAGGGTGTGCAGAGTGAGCTGTGAGAGGGCACAGGCAAGGGCATGGGTGAGGTGTAAAGCGAGAGGGGGTCAAGTGTGGGGAAAGGTCTGTTGGCAAAGGGGCAGGTGGAGTTGGCAAGTGGAGTGAGCAGGGGAGGCAGCCCCTAGCATTAAAGAAGAACTTAGCACCACTTGTGGCTCAGATATGCATGGCTTGTGTCTCCTAAGGGCCAGGCAGTCCATATTGTGGGCCTGATTCTGTGGAACTCCCCACTAGTTGAGATCTGACAGACCCCTTCTCTACTGGACTTCAATCAAACACATCTCGAGGACCTTTCTATTTCAGCAGGTATTTAAATAATTGTACATTATTCAAGTGTATTTGTTCATTTATTCAAGTTATGTTTTTATCTGTGATTTTGGTTTGTGTTAAACTGATATACGAGGAAGTGTTTTATTGATTTTTGCGTAAACCGCTTTGTGACAATCTGTGGTGAAAGGCGGTCTGTAAATATTGCAAATAAATAATAAATAAGTTGTGATGTGGCAGAATGGATGGTCATAATTTCAGATTGCAAATTTCATAATGCAGGTGGGGGAGGGGAGTTGTCACATTTTAGAAATACTTATTTGCACCCCCAAACTCTCATGTTTTGATTGCAAGTTCTTTACATAAGAGTATTTTTTTTATTAAAAAAATATTATGTTCCATCTGATGTGGCACAGTGCACTCCGTTCCCTCAGGATTCTGCCACCTTGTTCTGCTACATGTTTAGAGGAAGACCTGCCTTTACACTTGCTTTTCTAGGCCTTGCCCAGCGCCCTCTGAACTCTAAGACTGGATAGGTCCCTGCATCACACAAGCAGCAAAGGGGGCTGTATTTTTTACCTCAGTTTGTGATGCTTCGGTAACCTCTACAGCAAGAAGCAGGCTTCTGTAGGGTTCATAAAACACTTCATTAACTGGGAGAATCCTGCAGCATGAGAGAGAAGGGGGCGGGGGGAGAGAAAACGCACCGTTAGGCTTCCAGATTTAGACCATTCTCATGAGCTAAGCAATTCGCCTTCAAATTGCTGATCGAAGGTGCCTGAACTGAAGCTGTGTCCTTGGTGGAAACCTGGAATTGTGAAAACTGAACCCCATGCATGCGTGCCAGAGATAGAGAGAGAAAGTATTCACTTCATCAAGTGCATCGCACAAGAAGGAATGGAGAGGGTGATGACCAAAGGCCACAGTGTGGCTCTTTGACCACAGAACAGTCATTTTATTCCCTCACATTGCCACACGGGCCAAGGCAAGCATTATTCAGTAGAAGCATGAAGTACTTCTTCCATTCCTGGAGTTATTCTGACATGGTAGTTCATCCCTCATGACCTATCAGTTTACTATTCGGACACAGTCCATGAGGAGGTCCCCCACATCACATGCCCCATTGAGATGAATGGCAGGTACCCAGGGGCTTGATATAAAGGGCCTTGTCTTTTTATCTGTTCCTAAGGGCCTGCACTGTCCATTCCAGCAGGCTAAAAGGCATTTGCTTCCCAGCAGTAGCATTCCCCTAATCTCTGATGTTTTGAAGCCAGCTCTAGCTAAGCAGGGGTCTTTATGCATTCAGAAAGGCACTGTTGTCTATATCCACATGTCTAGAGGTAAAACGGGACAAGGGGAGAGGAAGGCTGAGCAGGGTTTTAATCCACATTCACACAACAATATCCAAAATGCATACGTATCCTGTATTACAAAAGACTCCTGTTTGGTGCCCTGTTTCTCAAACTACCTTCACACTGATCAGAGCCCTTAAGGTGATCCTGATTTGTCTCTTACCAACAACTTTGTATAGGGTAAATATATCCCTGCCCCCTGCCCCCCCTCGCTTTGCCCTAGTGTGTACACAAACAAAAACAAATTGAAGCCATGTTGATGTGTGACAACTAGCAGGGAAATTGCTGTGAAATTCACCCCCCATCAAACTTCAGTGCATTATCACCCTCAGTCTACTGCTTCCCACCCGCCTTTGCTTCTGGCTGGCAACATTTTCCTCACCTGTTATGAAGAGGTCATTGGAACTGTTCACTGTGGACTCAAGCTGCAACTTTCCATACAACTGTCCAGCCTCAGGAAGCACAACATGGGCACAACATGTTGTAGCAAACAGTGAATGCTTGAAGAAGCCACTTGCTGTAAACTCCGGCCCAATCCAGGCTGGGATCTGTGTTTGCTTTACCAGGCTAGCACCACTGCACAGCCATTTCCTCTTTCTTAACCATGTCTATTTCTCCTCTGAAGAACTTTGAGATTCCTGAGCCTCCCCTTCCCAGATTCAGTAGCCTTCTCCTATGGGAGCAGCTGTGGAGAGGGCAGGAGAGACGCACTCTGCAACCCACTTGAAGTCCTGCCCTCTCTCTTTCTCTTTGGGAAGTGCTGGAGGACAGAGGCAGAGTTTTATCAAGCTCCCCACCTGCAAGATCATGGCTTGAGTGGGAGGTTAAGCTCTGACCACCAAGCGGTCCTTCTGAAGAAGAAAGTCAAGAGCTTTGTCTACATGCACTGAAAGGTGCCTGTTCTCCTGATAATGTGTACAGCTACTGCTGCTGCTAACATCACCAGCAACAAACCCAGCCACCTTGCCGGAGTCCCAGCAGTTTAACAGAGCAAAATAGAACTTTAGAAAACTACACACACATATGCAAATATTTATGCAAACACACACAGAGAGACAATTCACAAACCTTTTGTAACCATTCAAACCACTAGGATTTCAGAGGTCAATTAAGGATACTGGGCAAGTGTATCAAAAGAGAGCTGTCCTACGCACCTGGCCACCCAACTTTGTGGTACATGAGCTTGTCTTCTGCTCTGTGCACCCCCGCTTGCAGTGTGCAGAATGGTGTCTAAATCTCTCTCCTGATTAGTCTGCTCAAGAGCTCTTTGCTGCTACTTGACCTACTCAGACTGAGCCGCTGCTCCAAGGCAGTCCCTGCGAGGCCCACCTTGGAGGATTCCCAGATGATGCATGGGAATGTGTGCACAGACAGGATGGACCTGTTCACAGCATCTGAAGGTCCTTGACTGCAAAAACCCATTTTGACTGGTTCAAAAAGGCTTCCACTGTTTCATACCGCAGAGCACTTGCTTCATGAACCTCAACCCTTGAACTTTATCTGCAGCCTGGCTGAAAGTTAGCTAAGTCCTTCCTGGCCTTTCCTGAGCTTTTCTTCAGCTTTTGCAGAAAGTGGTGGTGGCAAGGTTTGGTTGCTTCTGACACCATGTTTCAGTAACTGAGCAGAGGCAGGTCTAATTTTTCAAACTGCTTTATTTCTAGGCTCACAGACAATGCTGTCCCCTCCTGATCATTTCTTTCTCTTTTCACATTCTACTCCAGACCTCTTGTTGGTGTAATGTAGTATTGATGAAGGTTACTGGCAGGCAACATCCATAGAAGTCCGTGGGTCATAGCAAATATCAGATTAAAATCTTCTTTTCTTTTTAAAACCACCCTCATTGATTGGGGGCAGGGAGAAAAGGACAGCTAGGCCCAGGGTAGCGCCAGGTCTTCTTCCAACACATTTTCGTAACATTCTTCTATGCAATCAGTATCAGGAGCTGTGAGGCTTGAAGAAGGTCAGGCACTGGCTCCATGGGTTGGAGGAAGGAACCAGAGGTAGCTCCAGTGGGGGCTATGCACAACGTCCCAGAATCCTCCTGGGCCAGGGAGTCAGGTGACAACTGAGAGCCAATCCACTGCTATTGCTACTTATAAGTTCCCAGTTCTTCTCATTTCCCTGAGTCTGGGAAATTCATTAGCAATGTGAGCAACTTCCTTTTTCTCTGCAAGGCTGCTGGTCTTCTTCAGCCTCCCGTTTCCTGAAGGTGTGTGCCCTGCAGTTTCAGCACCTAGCAGCAAACTTGTAAGAAAGACCAGTAGATGAGGAGGTAAGCCCTGGCTGCAGGTTCTTCACAATTCTTTGTAATTTTAAAAAAGGGAGGGCTTGTCCAAGGGGCCGAGTGGTGTTCCACTTGTCATATGCTTTCTAGGCATGGCTCCGAGCAGTTTTGCCATTCCCCTGCTGCTTTGCCCTGGAAAACCTGCTCTTTAGTACTAAATCAGAGCAAATGTCAATTTCGAGAAAACCCAACCGACGTTTGCTCCAGTTCAGTGCTAATTATCAGGTTTTCCCAGGGAAGTGTGGGTGAGCCCAGAGAGTGTGGAATAAGAGGGTGGGGAAAATTCAGGCTAACACTTGGGTAAGGATGACATCTTGTGGACAATGCAAAAAGGCATGCACACCTAGGAACACACAGCTTTAAGCTGCCGTGTGAACTTAGCCCTAGATGTGACTTAAGATCTATCCTAAACTGCCTCTGCTGCAGGGTGCAGTCACTGAGGCTGGTGGTTTGGCCTGCCTTTCGTTCCCCCTCCCTTCTGCACAAGCAGTCTCTCTTGTAAAAGTTGCACAGTAAACTAATGGTCAGTTTATTTGCATTGTTTACAGTGATTTAACTGACTTCAGGGGCTTGTGATGGGGGAGAGTGTCTTTAAACATGCCATAAGGCCAGACATGCTCTGTTGAGTCCTTTGTGGTCCCCCTTCTGAAGGGCACAAGGAGGGCTTTCAAAATAGAAATTTGCTTTGGTTTTTCAATTTCCTGCATCAGTACAAAATGGAGGGGAGCTACACAGACCCGCATTATGCACGCTCAAATGTTAGTGGTTCTGTGCTCCTAATTATGCCAACTTCATTTTAGGAGGTTGTGGGGGGGCTTCCTAAATGCTTCCATGGTGCAAAATGAGCCCACTGGCAACCTTGCTCATGAGGAAATGGTGTGAGTGGGAGCTGGACGTGAGAGGGAAGTAAAAGGTACTCTGAGAGAGGTGCTGGGGCTCAATCTGCTTCCTAGCCCTCAGTTCCAGTGCATGTGAGCAAGCCAAGTGGTGAGACATTTTGCACATGCTCAGAGCACTCTTGTCATCTGAAAAGGGGAAACAGAGCCAGGAGCTGCATGCTGGTGTTGTGACATGGTCCCAGATCTCTCCAATGGGGACGCCTTTGATAATTGCTTTGATCAGGGAGAGATGTGGCTTAGTGGTAAAGCATCTGCTTTGCATGCAGAAGGTCCCAGGTTCAGTCCTCAATCGCATGTCCAGTTAGGGCTAGGAGAGAACCCTGTCTGACAATTTGGAGAGCTGCTGCCAGGCAGTGTAGACACTACTGAACTACATGGAGCATTGGTCTGACTCAGTGTAAGGCAGCTTCCTGTGCTCCATTTTGAGTCAGGATTGACAACGTGGAAGGTATTGTGACCCGTTGAATTCACTAGAATTTGGAAAGGGATATCATGACAGCCTCCCTAGTGAAAAGTAGGACCTACTGGTTGCACCTGTGACCTTTCAGGTGAGGAGTCTGACTCAGCCTCTCACCTGTTCATCAGATTCCTGCAATGGACACTACCCATGCATTGCCGCCATAATTCATGCTTCTGTGCCAGTTTGCTGTGGCTGTAAATGCTTGGTGGCTTCCTTTGCTGGGCACCATCTATGGGGATTTTGTGAAGTCTCCTTCTGTGCTGCTTGGGATGTCTCCCTTCACCTGCACTACCCAGTTCTGACCAGCTGCCTGGAACCTGCTTCCTTGCTCTAGATCTTGCCCTGCTTCTGGTTTCACTCTGCGCTATGTCCACCTTATCTAGACTTTGCCAAATACCTTCTGGGCTTTGCAAGGGGTGAGGAGATGCAGGAGACAGCCTTTGGGAGAGGAGAACCAAATGTTTTGATCCAGGAAGGTAAATTCTGGAGGAAGCAGTCTGTCCTGAGAGTTGGGTAGAGGAACACAATTCATGCAGGGGCTTCTAGATAGGGACAATATTGTAAATGGGTTGTTCAGATATCACAGATATCACAGATGAGTGACTGGAAACAGATTATGGTTTTGGTTTGGTTTGGTTTAAAAAAAAAACTTATCAGATTTCCCTTCAAAAGGGTGAATGTGGATTAAATGGGGTGGGGGATACAGGCTGGCATTTTGATCTGATGGTGTCAGGTGGAATGCATGAGGAGCAGACATCCCACAACAAACCCTTGTCTGGAAGCACACCACATCATAGGTTTTATGCCACCCAGATTTTCTTGGTCTGTTTTACACACACACACACACACACACACACACACACACACACACACCCCTTGCCTCTGGCAACCAGCGCTGAGATGGGAGAATGGCTTGCATTGCCTTGTCGCCCCTCTGCTTCTCCTTTCCTGCTCTGCCAGGGAGGAAGGGAGTGTTTCATCCCAGAGGCAAATAAATTCTGCAGGTTCACACCTAAGTAGTTTGGGAAGGGGGGTGGGTTGGAGGAGCAAACTGACTGCTCACAGTCTGAGACCTTTCCAGTTCACTGTCACCGTGCTCTGCAGCCAAATCAGGCAAGCCTACACTTTGCAGCCACCACCTTCCTGCACCTGGTGCTCTCTGCAGCTGTGCTGGCTGCGTTCCTTTGCCCATTGGGGCAGCAAAACATTTGGAGGGCACCAGGATGGGGGAAGAAGACTGACCTGTGCCATAGACAGCAGCCAAGATGGTGCCCTCCAGATGCTACAATTCCCATCATCCCTAATCATTAACCATGCATGGATTTGGAAGAGAACCATCTTTGGGGAATGACTGGCTTTGGGGAATGACTGGTGAAGGAGGGACCTGGCTTTGGGAAGAGGGGAAATGGCATTAGTGGCTTGGATCCTCAAACCCTGGAGATCCACTGCCAGTCAATATGGACAGTACTGAGCTAGATTGGATCCAGTTTAAGGCAGCTTCCTCTTTTTCTATTAAATCAGCCCTTCATTCAGAATCCTGAGTTCCACTTTGTTTGATACCAGGAGGCAAAAGCTCCAACTCCAGGCCCACCAAGCAAAGCCTGGCACTTTCCTCCAATGTGTTGTGGACCAGCCTTTGCTGCTACCTCTTCATCTCCATCTAGGAGCACATGCTTCCTCTGGTCCAAGATGTGCAATCAGGTTTTGCTCATTGGGGCATCAAAATCCTTTGCATATGCTGTTGGGGCCATTTTGCTTCTCGTCTAGGAAAGCGCCTAGTGCCCCAGATCTCACATAGCCAACACCAAGCCTAAATCATGCACCTTGTTCTTCTCACCATATCAAGCAAATGCATGAAGGAGACCAGAGTCTGAGATTCTGCTCTTGTTTCCAGACAAAGAATGGAAGAGGGGGAAACTACAGAGGAGACCACTCACAGGCTTCAAGAGGTTGTGAGAAAGGAGACACAAAGCTGGCTGTGGAAGGAACACCCTCATTCAAGTTCCATCAATGAGTGACCTAAATCAACCCCAGGCAGGCCTTGGATTTTGAGCAAATCTGTCCCCCCCCTTTTTTCCTTAATGAGTTCTCACAAGAGAAGCTCCCATAGTGTAGATTTCACTGCAGCATCTATAATTATCCTCCCAAACAGAATCCACTCCAGACATCCAACAATTATTGAGTGGTTACGACCTAGGGGCAGTTGCCTGTAGCCTTCATCCAACTGCAAGGGAGATGCACCTGGAAAGCTCTTTGCACATATGAACATGAGCATCCAAACGACCTTAGCAACCACCTGGTCCAGCCTCCAGCCTCCAACAGGGGACAGCTCAATGCTTTTAAGGGTATGGAGGCAGCTTGCCTATCCCCCACACTTCAGAGGAAGTCTCCCTTCTAGGAACTAGTAAAGAGTGCTGGGGGGGGGTGCAGTTTGACAAGGGAGACCAAACCTGAATCTTCATTCATTATTACAGAATAGACAATAGACTCTCTATATCTATCTGCTCAGTATCCCAGGAGACTTTGACCTCTGTCTGGACCAATGTCAGTGGGAGGAAGACAGAGCTGTACAGGTGAATTTAGACGCTGACACACTCTGATAAGTCCATCCCTTTCCCAGGTTGCAATAGTCACCCTTGCCAATACACTCTCACCGGTCAGCAGCATCACTTGCAAGGTAACCAGCACCTTGGACCACCTGGGTAGCGATTTATGGGCAGAACTTCTGGACAAAAGCCCATTGCGTTCCAGCAACCAGGAGCTATACCCTTCCTTGGCCAACACACACAAAAGAATCTCACTGAGCAGACCCAGCTATTTTTTAATCCCCCCCCAGGAGAGGCAGAGAGAGCCATGTGCTGCCGCTGCCGCTGGCATCTCATTTCCTGCGACTGCAGGCAGGGAGGGGGAAAAGAAAATTCCGCAGGGGGCTAAGGATGAAGCAGCGATGAGTGCCGCCTTGCAGGAGAGGGGCACAGGCACAGCACATCTCCCTGCGCTCCACCCATTTCACAGATCAGAGGGAGACCGAGACCCTGGCCTTGCGCGGCACAAAATGGGGAGCGTGCTTTTCTTCCAAAGGCAGCGGCTACCCCAGCGCCATCCCTGCCTGCACATGGGACACGGAAGGGGACCAGAGCGTCTTTGCTCAACGCCCGACGGTAACAGTAAACAGGGTGTGGGTCGGGAACAGAGCACTGAGGCTGTGCAACCCTAGAGCGAGATGGTGCCCAGGTTTTCAGCATAGAAAGCCAGTGGGCGAGCAGGTGGCGACCTGCATAAAGAGAGCTCAGAAAATCTACTGGGGAGACCCTGACCCAACCCAACTCAGCAGTTCCTCCCCCCACCCTCCCTGTCACTGTGTAGAAAGGGTGCCCGGGTCGCCAGCCAGGAAGATTCATGAGAAATCCCGTTTTGGACTGCTCTGGAAATACCAGGTGCTCATATGCATCTTTTGTTCTTGCAAAAAAAATAATTAAAATCTCTATTTCAGTTCGTCTGATTCCGTCCTCGCACCCCTCCTCCTCCCCACTTGCCAATGGAAGAGACACCCACCTTTCTGCCGAGGACGACAAGGCAAAGCCAGAGATCTCAGAAAGACACGCTGGGGAGGATGCAATAATATTTCCCCCAATCTTCTGCAGATCCTTGCTTGTGCCTGGGAAGAGTAGCCCCTTTGCAGAGAGAGAGAGAGAGATTGCAGAAGGAGCGCTGCCCTCCCTGTGTGTGTCAATCCAACGAAGGGAGCTTTGCTGGTGCAGCTGCTGCTATCAGTATAAAATGCATCACAAAGACCACCATAGACCACTACTCGGCCCCCTCCCCTCCTTCTAAAACATCTGTGACGTCTGCAGTGCAAGGAAGCCAGGGCAGATTAACCCTTGCCTTGCTGTGCCAGGCCCTCTTTTCCTCTCTCGCTCTCTCAGTCTCAAGAGCCAGGCAAGGGAAGCCTGGGTTCAGGATATGGAGAATTGGAAGGCACCTAAGAGGTCATTCAGCCTGTCCCTCCTGTCCCAGACAGGAGCTGTATGCATAACAACCCCAAATCAGAATCTTGGTTAAAGGGATATCTGTGGCCTGTTGTCAGTGTTTCACTCGGGGTGTAGCCAGGATTTTTGTTGGGGGTGGGGCAGCCCAAGTTGTTGAGTTTTTCTAGGCACAGCTCTGGGATTTAAAGCTCCATGTCCAAACAGTTTTATTTTTTGTCCCAATGCTCTCCCCAAGTAAAACCCATGTTCTACTGCTGAATCCAGTCTTCTGTAGATTGTCATTTTCTCCTATTCAGCACTAAAGAGCAGGTTTTCCCAGGGAAAGCACCAGGTCAAAATAATAAAAATGCTCAGACCCAGAGCTTTAAAGTGTGGACCTGTGCCTGGAAAGTGTGGCACAAAAGGAAGTCTGGATGAGCCCTATGTCTCATTAATGACTTATATTTTTGGGAAGAGCAGCAGCTCAGTTGCTTCTGACCAAAGAGGGTCCATTTAGGTCTCAGAGCTTATATTTTTCATGAGTTTGTCTAATTTCCTTCTTAAAACCACCAGAGCCTGTGCAGATGGACATGAGATAGCAAATGAGGTGAGAAATGAAGCAAAATCGAGCACAAGTCAATAAAAAGCAACTTAATTAAAACCTTGTAGGTGACCCAACAAAAGGAATAATTATGAGATCCATCTCAGCCAATGATGGGCCTGGATTAAGAATTCCAACATATTCACATCTTCAGAAAGTAACTATTAAACATATTAAAACTTGTCCAGAAGTGTCTTCACATGCCACTGCCACCTGCCATGTGTAGCACCATTGGGAATTCACGAGCTCTGAATTTCTTGTCAAAAAGAAAAATTATTGTTGGCACAATTTTTAAACAGATCCACGTGATTCCTCCCCCCGCCCCCACTCCCTTGTGTCACTGAACAATTGAACAGGCAATGTCAAAGGTCCTTGACCTTGTCTCATCTGTAGTGGCAGAGGCCGCAAATTGCCATGCACAACCTGGTGCCTTCCAGGTGTTCTGGACTGCAACTCCCATAAGCCACGCCGACTGGGACTGATGAGAGCTGTACTCCAAAGCACCTGGAAGTTAGGTAAAGGCTGTTGCAAGACGTCTTTGTTAACATTCCTTCATTCTATGGCAGCAAATTCCATATTTTCTGTTTCCTGACTAGAACCTTCAGAGCCAGTCACAAACTTTTTGCTGCCTGAAGCAAAAGACAAAATTATGCTCCCTCCCCATCTAGGTACAGAAACCGACTGGATTGCCAGTTAGCTCTTATTTCAACACTGTTGATGGGACAGCATCCACCACAGCAGGAGGTGGGTGAAAAGAAGGTTAATTTAAGGTAGTGTAGGCAAGGCACACCTCAGCATCCCCCTGGCACTGCTGCCCTGCAGCATCTGCCGCCTGAGGCAGCTGTATTACTCTGCTTAATGGTAGGTCCGGCCCAGTGAACCTGGTGGTGGTTAAGTGTCAGTGGGTGATCCTGAGGTCTGGTTTAATGCAAGTGAGGAAAGAAGATTACTTTCTTCTCCCACATTTTTCTCCTATTTCTAAATTGCTTGCATGCATTCCCTCCCGCCAGGCTCCCAGCTGTGCAGTCTAGAGCAACAGCCCTCTGGACACACCCTGGTGATGATGACAACAGCTGTCTCTGAAGGCGGTTAGGGATGCTCAGCTCGTGGTGGGCATCCGCTTGGAATGAAGGCAGCAGGAGGAGGAGGCCGGGTGATCTGCAGAGGCTGGAGTTTTGCTGGCTCATCCATTTGGGTTGCAAATGCCACGAGGAGGGGGGGGGCACGGAAATCTGGGGCACAAAAGCTGCCTGCTGTCGCCCAGAGAGGGAAAGGGAAGCGTCTTGGCCCCATTCCCAAAGCACAATGGTCGAGGAGGGAACATGGTGGGGAGGGGGCTGTTTCTGCTTCTCCGGGTCTGACATGAATGCATTAGCCTCCTGAACCAGATCTCTCATCTTAGGCAAGTGGCAACCCAGGTGATGCTGATCAGCACTGACAAGCAGCCACTACTACTCTCTCCGCCTTTGAACGTAGCTGGCGATGCAGAATGCAGGAGTTGCCCCACAGCGAGGAATAATTCATTTCTCTGGGTAGGACGGAAAGAAGCATGGCCTAAGCCTTAAAGGGTCTGACTGTAGGATGTAGGGCCAGTGGAGTGGATCCAAGATTGCAGATTCTGAGGAAGAGGCAAGATGGCATACCTCTGGCAGGCCGAGAAAGCAGATATCTAGGACTTGAATTCCCTTGCTGAAGCTCCAGTGCTGATTTTAATTATTTGGTTAGATATCAGAACGTAAGAAGAGCCCTGTCAGATCAGACAAAAGACCCATCTAGTCCAGCATCCTGTTCTCACAGTGGCCAACCAGATACCTGTGGGAAACCCACAAGCAGGACTTGATGGCAGCAGCACTCTCCCCTCCTGTGATTCCCAGCAACTGGTATTCAGAGAGACATGCTACCTCTGACAGTGAAGGTAGAATCCAGACACTGTGGCTAGTAGGTACATATATAGCAAACTCTGCAGCTGGGCATATCAGACTACCTGGCCCTTGGTCTGGATTCTATCTGAAAAATATTGAATGGTGATTGATGCAGAGTAGGGTGTAGTGAAGGACCCTTTTGGGTAGACCTGGAACAGAGACCTTATTTGCAAACAGGGCCGAGTCCCAGAGCTTGTGGCACAACTGCAAAAGTGAAGTGGGCTTTCTCCACATCACTTGGGGCTCATCCAGACGTCCTTTTGTGTAGCGGTTTCTCGGCACAGGTCCGCACTTTAAAGCTCCATGTTTTATTGTTTATTGTTGTTGTCCTGGTGCTTCTCCCAGGAAAACCCACATTTTACCACTGAATTGGGGCAAATGGCCATCCACAGAAAACCCTGGGGAGAAAGGAAACTACCTTTCCCCAGGTACAGTGACCCAGTCCACTCTGCCACTCCTAGGAGATGCACTACTGCAACCTCACTGCGGGTGCTCCACCAGGATCCTCTCAGGATCCTTGCTGTGGGTGGTGGGAGCCACTGTGAGCCCTCCAGTCTGAGAGCATCCTTCCTTTGCAGCATGGCCACAAGCATCAGGCTCCTCCAGGTAACTATTTACAGAGCATCCATCCTGATCTGCCTGCGCAAAGCTTACACAGAGGTTAGGCTATGTCTGACCTTTGGTGAGCATTTGTTCATGCCACATGTTTCAGTGCATTTTCCTGTCACATTCCTCACCGCAAAAGGTCTGGGTTGTGTGTGGTGTTTTTTGGGATTTGCTGCCTATTGTCTATTTTAAACTGGAACTCCCGGCCTACTGAGATTAGCAGGCTGTACTCTTTTTGGTGCCTGCTAAAAACTCTTGTTTAGACAACTCAGATGCTTAGGAAGTTGAAGTAATTTGTAATCTGCTTTAGTATTTTAACTTTTGCATGCTTTAACGTAGGGTTGTGAATTTTTCTTGCCATTATTATTTTATCTTTTTGTAAACTGCTCTGAAGGTTTTTTTTACCATCAGGCGGTGTATAAACTTTATGAAATGAATGAATGAATGAATGAATGAAATGCTTCGATCCTCTTTAATTGTGCAAACCTAAATCTGATATATGCTTGAATTCCTCTTGTAAAATAGTGGCCGTCAGGAAGCACTCATTGATACCCTCTGGCACCTCTCTGGCATGCACTGTTTAAATCCAGATACTGTTGCCCTCAAACTGCTACTTGTATTGCTTCTGTCCATAGTCAGAGCACGCCTGTCCTCAGGATGCTTCCCACACACTTTCTTGCAGGCTGCAGCATCCAACCCACCTGAACTGAGAAAGGCAACTTTCCCCTTTGCCACACCAGTCACAGACCCCCTTGCTTGGATGCCCTGATGCATCTTGGCAAAATGCATCTGCCCCCTTGGAAAGGCACCAGGCAGGCAGGCAGGCAGGCAGGGTGTGACTGGCCATCCTCAGTGCCTTGCTCAGCATCTCTACTGGTGGCTCGGTCAGTCCTGTATCTCCATGGAGACAGCCAATCATGGGCAGACATCTTCTTTTCTCTCTCCACCCTGAAATTCATCACTGCATGGTCCCACTGGAGTGTTTAAAGACAAAATGCAAATTGTTGCCTGTGCTGTAATTATCGATGTGAGGTGCAAAGGGCTGCATTTCTAGGGACATCCTAAGCTCAGCATGCATCTCAGCAGTGAAACAAACAAACAAAAAATTGGGAGGGTGTTCAGTGTCAGGATTTTCAAGAGGGGATAAGGCATAAGAGATTATGCTCCTGTGCAGAGGACATTGAAGGAGATGGAGGCCAACATGATGGGCAATGTGGTCCTAAGCCAGCCTTCCTCAACCCGGTGCCTTTGAGATGCTTTGGGCTACAGCTCCCATCACCCCACAGGCTGAATGATGTTGGGGCTGATGATGACTGTGGCAGATGGGAATCCCAATCCAAAACATCTGGAGGGCACCAGGTTGAGAGAGGCTTCCTGGTCCTGTCTCACTTCAGTGAACAAATGTGTTATTCCTCCCTGTTTTCAGCCTCCAAAGGATGAATGCCGCTGGGCTTTCACCTGCCTGAGCCTGCTCCCTGTCCACAAGGCAGAAAGCGGTGACTTTGGGAGACCACCAAGTTCTGCCTTGCCTGCCTAGCACACCCCTTTTCCTGATACCCACACTGCGGGTACCCCCTTACTTTCAGCTGTATATCTCAGACTAGGAGCCATGTGGAATGTGATACTACGGAGGTGGAGCAATTTCAGTTTCTAGGAGCATGAACTGCATGCTATGGGCTATGAAAGCTTCTCTCCAGGTTAACCACTCTCCATTAATGTGTTGTGATATTTGCAGTGAACTGGAAAGACCGCTAGTACATGAGCATTACTATAAGGACATAAGATGAGCCTGTAGCAGCACCAGGCCTATGGCCCACCCAGTTGGGCAGCCTATTTTTGCAGCAACCCACTCAATGCCTGTGGGAAGCCCGCAAGCTGGACCCTGCCCACTGCTGTTCTCAGCAACTAATACTCAGAAGCATAATGCCTCTACAGTGGAGGTAGAACAGAGACATTACGGCTAGTAGCTGTTGATTGCCTTGCGGCTGGTGAATTAGGAAGGCTTCCCAATCAAATCTCACCCTCCCACCCACAAACCCACAAGGTGGCCATAGGTAGGCTAACGCCTCCCATATTCAGCCTCTTAAGATAAGGATATAAGCCTGTTTTGAAGGCTTGTTGGGACGCGGGTGGCGCTGTGGGTTAAACCACAGAGCCTAGGACTTGCTGATCAGAAGGTTGGCGGTTCGAAACCCCGCGGCGGGGTGAGCTCCCATTGCTTGGTCCCTGCTCCTGCCAACCTAGCAGTTTGAAAGCACGTCAAAGTGCAAGTAGATAAATAGGTACTGCTCCGGCGGGAAGGTAAACGGCGTTTCCATGCGCTGCTCTGGTTCGCCAGAAGCGGCTCAGTCATGCTGGCAACATGACCCGGAAGCTGTACGCCGGCTCCCTCGGCCAATAAAGCGAGATGAGCGCCGCAACCCCAGTGACTGTCACGACTGGACCTAATGGTCAGGGGTCCCTTTACCTTTACCTCTGAAGGCTTGTTAGAACTGTAGAGTTGGGAAGATCCCATGAGTCAACTAGTCCAAACCCCTGCAACTGTGGTTAAGTATGTGAAGTGTTTTAAGCACTCTAGAAGCACCCTCTAAATGCTAGCTCCTGCTTGCTATTTTTGCTGGGTCTTGTTCCGTACCCTTTCTGATTCCCTCAGTTCCCTGTACTCGGAAACGGACAGAAGTTTTCTGAGGCAGCTTTTCTCCACGAGCGCACGCAGCAAGAAGCAATCCAAGGGGGCCCTGCCCTGCCCCCCTTGGGGATACAATACTACTAAGGGGAAGGCATTGCCTTCTGCTTGGAAGGAGCTGACTGTGCGTATAAAGGAAGCTGCACAGTGACACAGAAAACTGCCCACCGGGGACCCCCTCCTCTCTCTACCTCAGATGCCGCCGCCGCTGTTGCTGCTGCTGTGAGCCAATCCTCAACTATCCCATATATGGTCATAGCTGTGCTTAGCAGAGCCCTGCAAAAAAAGATTCATCCGTGTGCAACTGATGCTGCAACCTATCAGGAAAGAGGCTTCTAGGAAAAACCAGGTCAGATCGTGGCATGGTCTCCTCTCTCCCACCCCCACCGACACCCTTCCCTTCCTCCTGGAGGGTCCTCTCTCAGCTCTGCAGCTTGACCCTGGAGGTTATCTGTACAAGATTCCCTTCTGACTTCTGGCTCCAGGATACCTCTTGCTACTTGCCATACTCCAAAGGAGAGGAGGAGGGGGAGAAGGAGTGCTAAGAGACACTAGGGGCTGGTTCCATTGTGACGCTCTCTCCAGTGATAGTCCCCCCTCCCCAATATCTTTGGAATAATTCCCGGGAAGGAATGCAGGTGGGAGGGGGCTTGTCCCTCTCCCTGCTTTCAAGTCTTTAACAGCCACTTGGTGGATAAACATTTAGCAAGAGGAACTGTTCCTGGCATGGGGAGAAGTAGCAGCAAAAGACAACACTTGTTTATTTTCTGCGGCTCAGGCTACTATTGGAGGCAGAGGAGCAGGGCCGGTAAAAAACGTTGGCAACCGACCATGGGAAAAAGGATATGGTTGTGTTGGGGCTGGTTCTCTCCCCCCACACTTGGGGTGCCTCCAGTATTTTGCAGGAGGGATCCAAGCGGATAATGCTCAGTTAAAGTAGATTAAAGGGTTATTATTATTATTATTATTTATTGAATTTATATACCACCCTATACCCAGAGGTTTCAGGGCAGTTCTGTAGCTCTGGTGCAACATTCCACTTTTAAAAAAGCAACAACAGACCTTTTGCTGCAAAACAGAGGCAGGGTGAAGGAATGATCAATGGGAAGGTGTGTAAACAAGCAAATGAGGACCAATGCAGGACATTGTTGTGTAACTGCCCCAGGACAGATGCTCAGACCAGACAATAAAACCCTCCCCTCCCTTGAGCCAATCAGGAGGGATGCCCAAATCAAGCTGCCCTCCAGAGGAGGCCTTCTTCTCCCAGGGCCTGATGCTTGAAGAGACACAACACATTAGCACCCTGTTTGACACATCCCAGTTCTTGTTTTTTTTCCTTTATTTGTTCAATTTGCACCCCCTTTTCCCACCATGTGTTGCACAAGTTGGCTAAAACAACAATACAAACTCAATACAATCTAATAATTAAACAGCAATCAAATGCAAAATTAATAAAATAAAAACAAGGCAGGTTAAGCATCAATGAAAGTAACCGTTTCAAACCAAGTTGGGGGTAGATAAATCTGTCATCTTCTGCTTCTCATCCTCCCCCCGTTTTCAGTTCTCCCCATTTCCCACATAAATTTGCTTTAAATAAATAAGTAAAAGACCTAACCATTCACCAATGTTTTAGTGCCTGTGTCTCCTAATCTAATAGGTAAAGGTAAATTAGTTGTGGCCGACTCTGGGGTTGTGGCGCTCATCTCGCTTTATTGGCTGAGGGAGCAAGCGTACAGCTTCCGGATCATGTGGCCAGCATGACTAAGCTGCTTCTGGTGAACCAGAGCAGCGCACGGAAACGCCGTTTACCTTCCTGCCGGAGCGGTACCTATTTATCTACTTGCACTTTGACGTGCTTTCGAACTGCTAGGTTGGCTGGAGCAGGGACCGAGCAACGGGAGCTCACCCCGTCGCAGGGATTCGAACAGCCAACCTTCTGATCAGCAAGTCCTAGGCTCTGTGGTTTAACCCACAGTGCCACCCGCATCCCTGTGTCTCCTAATAGATACATTTTAATGTAATTTTGCCTAATGTTTGCATTTTTGCAAATTATTACCGGTAATATAATGCATTTCTGTATATTATTTTCACTAATATATGCATTTTTATGCACATTTCCCTCCAGTTCACACATTTTTGTACTCCTGTTTTGGTTGGAGAAGTGCACCACAAAATTCAGAGAAGTTTGAATTTCAAAGGATAGCCGTGTTTCCATTCACATTTTGTTTCAGGAAGTATGAATTAGATAGGTTTGCATTAACATGCAAGCGAAACCAAATTCCTCTCCCATCCTTAAACAAAATGCAAAATATTTCCAAGTCAGCTTACGGGCCAAAGGCTGGTCTAAATAAAAAAATCATTTGGTTACTAGCAAAAGGCCATCGGAAATGGGACTAACCAGGTTCCCTTGGCAAGGCGTTCCAGAGCCTGGGAGCAGCCACCAAGAAGACCCTCCCTTAAGTTCCACTGGGTGTGCTTCAGATATCGGTGGGGCAAAAAAAGACAAGCCTCTCCCGGCAAACTTGTATGCAGTCTTTCCCTTGTGTGTGTATCTTTTTTATTATAATTTTTTAAATTTGATTTTCAAAAAAAGAGAGAGAAAGAGAAAAAAACAAAGAAGAAAGGTGGCAAAGTTACATCTAAATATCTTACACATTCACGTATTGAGATTACTCTGAATCTCCTGACTTCCCCCATCCCATCTGTGGGTCCTCTTAATTATGTTTTCATCTGCATATCAGTACTCTCCAAAATTTTCATCTTCCTAAGTTATCTATAGTTTCTATTACATTACAAGTGCTAAAATCCTGCTAATGTTTTAACTCGTTTATAATAATTTTGTATATCTATTATAAACATTTCCCATTCTTTTATAAATTTCTTGTCTTCTTGGTTCCTAAGCTTCCCAGTTAATTTTGCCATTTTGGCGTAGTCCATCAACTTGGTCTGCCATTTTTCTTTTGTCTGGGTTGTCTCTTCCTTCCTTCTCTGGGCTAGCAGTATCTGGGCAGCCGTTGTAGTACAGTGGTACCTCTAGTTACGAACTTAATTCGTTCCGGAGGTCTGTTCTTAACCTGAAACTCTTCTTAACTAGAGGAGTGCTTTTGCTAATGGGGCCTCTTGCTGCCACTGCTCCGCCGGCACACGATTTCTGTTCTCATCCTGCGGCAAAGTTCTCAACTCGAGGTAACTCTTCCAGGTTAGTGGAGTTTGTAACCTGAAGCATTTGTAACCTGAGGCCTTTGTAACTCGAGGTACCACTGTATACATAAATAATTTGTTCTGTTCTTTTGGAATCTCGGTACCTATAATTCCTGGTAAAAAAGCTACTGGTTTTTTAACAAAGGTTAATTTAAACATTTATTTTTCATTTCATTATATATCATTTCCCATAATTTTTTGATTACAGTGGTACCTCGGGTTAAGTACTTAATTCGTTCCGGAGGTCCGTATTTAACTTGAAACTGTTCTTAACCTGAAGCACCACTTTAGCTAATGGGGCCTCCCGCTGCCGCCGCGCCGCCGGAGCACGATTTCTGTTCTCAACCTGAAGCAAAGTTCTTAACCTGAAGCACTATTTCTGGGTTAATGGAGTCTGTAACCTGAAGCGTATGTAACCTGAAGTGTATGTAACCTGAGGTACCACTGTACATTACAGTTACACCTCATATGATAAAAGGTAACCTCTTTTTCTTTACATTTCCAGCATATATTATTACTTGTTCTATACATTTTTGCTAGTTTTACTCGGGTTAAGTACCACTGATACATCATTTTCATGCAGTTTTCTTTCAGTTAAGAGCAAGCCATAAATTTCAGATCAGTTTTCCATAGCCTCTCCCAATCCGCCATTTGTATATTACGAAGTATGTCCTACATCTTTCGCCCATTTTATCATCACAGATTTTACCTATTCATCTTTCGTATCCCATTCCAGGAGCAAATTGTACATTTTAGACAGTAGTTTAATTTTCCAAAATCTCTTTCTGAAATCTTGATAATTCATAACTAAAACCTTTCTTTTTATCTGTTTTTGAAAAGTAATTTAATTGATGATATTGTAACCAATCTGTTACCTGTTCTCTCACCTCTTCAAAATCTTTTAGTTTTACTTGGCCAATTTGTCCTCATATTTACTTTCTTCACAGATAGTGCTTCTAACAGGGAAAGCCACCAGGGTGTTTTTTGTTCCAGTAAATCTTTATACTTCTCCCATTCTTTAAAAATTGATTTTCTTATTATATGATTCTGAAAGCCTTTGTGTACTTTCACTTTGTCATACCATAAATATGCATGCCATCCAAATCTATTATGGTGTCCTTCTAGATCTAACACATCTCCATTTTACAAAATTATCCAGTCCCGGATCCAACAAATGCAAGATGCCTCATAGTATAATCTCAAATCCGGCAGGGCGAAACCTCTTCTTTCTCTCATATCTGATAGTAATTTATATTTTATTCTTGGTTTCTTCCCTTGCCAGATAAATCTAGAAATATATTTTTGCCATTCTTTGAAGCATCCCATATGTGTGTATCTACTATAAATTTTGGAAAGTTGTTGGTCCATTTGGAGATATCACCAAACTCGGCACAAGGGTTCTTGGGGTGGGGGCAGTGGTCTTTGTAGACTGGTATGCCAGGCACCATTTGAATCAAGATGGTGGACTGAAATATGACTTTGGCGTGTTATCACCTGATTTTCGGTGTGATGGGCCAAACTGCACCAATTTAGATGGCTCTGAAGACATTGTTACCACATTTGCTGGGACATCACCAAATCTGGCATGATGGTCCAGACCAATGTACAGCGGTACCTCGGGTTAAGAACTTAATTCGGTCCGTTCTTAACCTGAAACTGTTCTTAACCTGAGGTACCACTTTAGCTAATGGGGCCTCCCGCTGCTGCGTGATTTCTGTTCTCATCCTGAAGCAAAGTTCTTAACCCGAGGTACTATTTCTTGGTTAGCGGAGTCTGTAACCTGAAGTGTCTGTAACCCGAGGTACAGCAATTCACACAGTTCTGAAAATATTGTTGCCCAATCTTCTGTGACGGTTCCAACCTGTGCCAGTATGGATACATTTGAAGGTATCAGGGCTCAACTTAAAACGAGGGTTCCTGAGGGGGAGACAATTTCCTCTGTGTTTGGTGTTGGGCTCCATTTGAATCAGGACCGCAGACTGATGCATGGCTTTGGCATGACTTTGCCCAGTCTGGCATTGTGAGTCCAAGCTGTGCCAACATGGACACACATGAATATTTAATCACCCAGTTTGATGTGACTTCCCCCAATTTTGATTAACAGGTCTATACTGTGCTGAACTGGATGGCTCTAAATTCAGCTTCTTCGCTGAGTGGAGATTTGAACCCTGGTCTCCCAGGTCCTAGCCCAAAACTAATCACAACACCACACTTGTTTTCCACTGTAGGATTTTGTGGGTCATGACTAGCACCTTGAATTGTGCCTGGAAAACAGATGGGTCACCAGTGATGCCATTGTTTTAATGCAGAGTGTCATATGTTCCTTATAATTTGCCTGGCTACAACATTCTGAACCTGCTGAAGTTTCCGAACAGCCCTGCGTAGAGGTTATCACTGTACTCTAAATTAGATGGTTTATTGATTACATTTGTTAGATGCCTGCTACTACTAAAAAAAAGGAGATGGTGACGGCCACCAACTTGAATGGCTTGGATTAGGCAAATTCATGGAGGGCCAATGCCCTCTGACTTCTGGATGCTTGAAAATAGATGGGTCAGAATCCCACCACTTTTTGCTTCATCCCGTAGAAATGAGCATTTAAAAAACTCATAACTACAGTATGTCCTCCTGCACCCTCTGCTGGTCTCGCCTTGGTCATGACATCCTTTCAAATATGGCTCTAGCTTGGAGGTTCTGTTTTGAAAAGAGAGGGGTATTTTGGAAAAATAAGAGGCAGGACTGCCTCCTGCCACTGTCGAAGGCCAGCCAGCAACCGCAGAATGTCTAGAGCAGGATGAAAACTACCTAGCTTCAAAATGTATTTGAGAACTCATCTTGTCTAGAACTGTAATCAGGTAACAGATTAGTGCATTGTATCCAATGCAGACTCTCCGGCTTCCTAACTAGCCAATCTCTCTCTCTCCCCTGCCTCCCATTTACCATATAATCTGGTGAAGAGTTCTGGAGAGCTCAAAAGCTGGCATACCCTTTTGTGGCCTAATAAAAGTCACATTTTGACATTTTCTTATGGGCTCACACAGCTGCTTCTACTTTTCAATTCAGTATTGATCCAGTGTCATGGCAAATCGAGTGTCTTAGGATTTAAGCATCTAATGCAGTAGATTATTTACTTTTCTTGTAGAAGGGCTGAATGTTCAGTCTTTGGCATCTCCAAGTCAGGACCCTTGCCTGAAAACCAGGGAAGCCAGCCAGGACAGGTGGACCAATGGCCTGACTCTGTGTAAGGCAGCTTCCCCTCCCCCCCCTTCATTTCTGTTTTAGGAAACATTCAGGGCAGATAACAAATATTTAAGAAGGCATGAAATGCTTAAGATACAGACAATGAAACATGGGTGAGGCAAAATGTAATGAGTTGTTTTTAAAAATCTATCTTCCACATTTTTAAAGCAAGCTGGAATGGGTCACACAAGTTTTAAAAAACAGGAAAATAACATAACAAAACTATACTAAACACACAGGAATTACTTAAAAGCAGCCATCACTTTTATATTGCACCAATAACATGAATTAATTTATATCCACCAAAATAAAACAGAACTAATAAATATACTGAGTTAATTATAACAATAGCAGTAACCCTGAAGACATCCTAAGAGGGCAAACCAGACTGGGTGTCACAGGAGTGTGCCAATCAGTGATCACACACTTCAAAGATGGAGTTAACAAACATGACCTACACAGACTTGGCTGAGTGTCAGGCCTAATGAGCAGAGCAGCTCATTCCCAGTGGTCTTCCTTCATGAAATCAGTTGCCAAGACCTTTTCCAAGCAATTGCAGGCAGCCAACCTCTCCTTTGCCCTTTTCATGCCTCTTCTGGTTCTGGGAGACAAGGGGGGAGACCCTCATGACTCCACCAGCCCAGCTGATCTCTGCCTCTTGGCCTCTCTCATTCCACTCTCCTGCTTCAGCTTCTGCTTCTGCTTCTTGACTGCTCTCTGCCACAGACTCTCCCAGCTCACTAAGCCCTGTTACCTCTTCAGCTTCCTCCTTCCAATCTTTGCTTCTCTTTTCCCTCTTACTATTCATCATTTTCCTACCACCACTCCTGGGCTCTGAGCCTTCATCCCTTGGTGGTTCTCCAGCTGCTTCCTTCCACCATTCCTCTGCGTCCAACCAGTCCATGACACCAGAGGTGTAGCAAGGTCAGGTGGTACCCAGTGCGATTTTTTTTTTGTCGTCACCCCACATTGCAATTTTTGGGAACGTTGTCCTGAGTTGTTGACCTTTTTTTAGAGAGGTATAGCCCGCCGGGGGTGCCAACGCCACCTGGCAATTGCAATAAATCAACCACCAATCGCATAAAAGCGCCCATCGGGGATGCAACCACCACCACCCGGGGGGGGGGTGCAAATAACACCTGTCAGGGGTGCCAGACTGATCGTCGGACGTATTTGCGCAATCAGCGGGCGGATTTTCACAACGACGATTGCTCAAATTGTGATCTGCCGGCCAGGCATGACACCTGGGCCTGACTGCACCCCCTTTGCAACGCCCTTCATGACACCCTGATTCAGGGTGATTGTTTGTAGCAAAACACAATTGCAGTACCAAGTGTGGAAAAACAACATGGGATGGAGACTTCTAAGGGCTATTGTGGCTTTAACAGAAAAATTCCTCTTTGCAGATTCAGCTCATTTTATTCCTTCCTGTCCAGTGCAGTTGTGGGAGGAGTGATGAATAATCCCTTAATTAGTCCTCTTCTATTGAGAGACAATTCACCACTGATCCCCCAGTTTGCACTCCACAGGAAGTGGATATAAATATTTCAAGGCTTCAGAGGATCATGGAAAGGGGGGGAATGTTGTGGGATTTTTAATTGATAGCTCTCTTTCCCCCCTCTTTCACAAACCTGTTGGTAACACCAGTCCACACTTTAAAGTGCCTTGTCTAAGTGGGTATTGTTGTTTCCCCCCACAACCTCACTCTTTGCCGCTGGATCAGAGCAAACGGCAATCCATAGAAAACCTGAATTGCTGTTTGTTCCTATTCAGTGTTACAGAGCAGGTTTTTGAAGGGAAAGCAATGGAACTGTCTGATCGAAGCTAATGGACCAGCCAGCCCTGGGATGCACACACACTCACAATGGTGTAATGGTAAATTTTGAAGTGCAAGAGTTCATCATGACAGCCCCCCCCCCCATAGCAGTCCAAAAATGCAGGCAGCTGGGTTAATTACACTTGATATACACCAAGAGCCTTGGTCAGTACAGCTCAGGATTGTCTACACCGATCTTCTCTGGGTCCCCAGATGTTGTTGGACTGCAATATTCATCAGGAGTGCCAACTTCAATAAAATATGGGAGGGAGAGGGGGCCAGGTAAGCCAAGCCCTTCATAATCAGCCACAAGACAATACACATGCACACTGTTTGAATGGCAATGCCCATTAACTTTGGGGGGGGGCAGTCTCCTCAAATACTTTATTGGGGGGAGCTGGATGGACCTTGACCCCTAGGAGTTGGCTCCTGTGACTCCCAACATCCTGGACTGCTGGCTAAGGTGGCTGGAGCTGGTGGGAGCTGCTGTCCAATAACACTTGAGGACCCTAAGCTAAAGGAGGCTTCTCCACAGGGGCCAGCACAATCTCTCCAGAGGTTTCCTGGTCCCATGCCAAGCTGCCACCAGGTGCTCTATCCCTGAGCTACGGTCCTTCCCACTAAACTCTGCATGTGCTTAGTGAACGTATGAAGCCTTCAGACACTGAGTCTGTCGTGCCCCAAATTTCCTGCTTCGTCTAGGGTCTCAGGCAGGGAAGGGTCTCTTGCATCCCCTGCGACTGCACCCTTTTAATCAGCAATATCAGAGATGAAACTGGATGCCTTCTTCATGCAAAGCAGCTGTTCTATGCCTGAGTGATGGGCTCTTCCCTAGCCCGGTGTCTTTATGGCTGTCCTCAGGGAGATGCCCCTTTTTGCCATTCTACTGTCTCAGTTGCTTTAATGTTTCTCTGTGACATTTCAAACAGGATTGGCTGGCTTTGGGGGGCCAGGGGAGGTAGCCCGGCCCCCTCCTTCTGTACAAATAGGTCCCTTTTGGTTATAAAAGAAGCTCCCCCTCAAAAAAAATATATATGTCTCTGTAACCTTCAGGATAGGCTGTTGCAGCGAAGCACTGAGGAGGAAGGGGAGGGAATCTTCCATATCATGGGCAGTTGCCATGGAAATGCTTCACATTTGTTTCTGAAATCTGCTTCTCCCTCTTTTTAAAGATCATGACGACAGATTTCTCACAAAAGAAACTGTATCTCCTTCCCTCTGTCTGAGCCTTGTGTAGTGATGGAGCAGGTGAGACCTCAGTCCTGCCCAGGAGCTGAGTGGAAAGTGAAGCTGCCTGGTCTCAGAGGGCTCCTGCTGATTGTGACAACAGTGGGGCAAGGGAAGAGGTAGTTGATTTTCCTCACACTCAAAAGGTGGGAAGGACCAGCATCCAACTGGCATGGATTCCTTAAAGGTTCAGAGTCAAAAGGGAAGATACATTGCCCATCCAATAACGTTCAGGTCATGGGGTATCTACAGGACCTGCTTCTGTTGCCTTTGCTTGTTTATTAACAACAAAGTAGTTTATTGAATTTACTTTTTGCTTTAGAATTTCATCAACCAAAGGGCCCTTCCCCAAGGAAGTTACAGAGCAAATGCTGACACTTGAAAAGGCATTGTGGAGGGAAAGGAGAAACAAAACAAAGGTGTGTGCAGGAGCCCAGCCTTCCCAAACCAGGTGCCCTCCATATACCTTTTGACTACAACTCCTACACTGGCTGGGCAGTAGATTGGGGAAGGTTGCTCGAGATCCTGTACTGGGCATTAAATTCGTCTGCTTCCCTATACCATCATTTCCTCAGTCTTGACACAACCACACACCCTATCTCGTGGATTCCCATCCACCTGTTCTGCTGCAGAACTCGGAATCCCAACTTCCATTTTGGAAAAAGAGTCCAGAGCTTACTTTACCCAGAACTCCTATTTGCTCTGTTGCCATTCCTTGCCCAAATATTCCAGCCAGATTCAAGCAGGAGGAGGGTCTCACCTCCAAGGCTCATCTCCAAGGCTAGGTTAACTAGCCAGTGTGGTGCAGTGGTTAGAGTGTGGGACTAAGATCTGGGAGACCAGGATTCAAACTCCCACTCAGCCGTGAAACTCACTTGGGCCAGTCACTCACTCTCATCCTAACCCACCTCACAGGGTTGTTGTGAGGAGAGGAGAAGTATGTACACCATTTTGAGCTTCTTTGAAGAAAGGTGGGCTATAAATGTAATGTGACTTTAGTCAGGAGTCACCCCACTGCATATCTTCAGTGCCAACACATCCTTAGACTGGAAGTCAAGAGTGCCTCTCGGCATGTGCAGAGACACTGCCTTTACTTTACTTTAAAGCAGGCATGGGGAACTTCTGCCTCTCCACGTGGGGCTGGCCTACAATTCCCATCAGCCTCGGCAAGCATGGCTAGTGGCCAGGGGTGGTGGGGTTGTAGTTCAATGACATCTGGAGGGCCAAAGGTAAAGGTACCCCTGACCATTAGGTCCAGTCGTGGATGACTCTGGGGTTGCGGCACTCATCTCGCTCTATAGGTCAAGGGAGCCGGCGTTTGTCCACAGACAGCTTCTGGGTCATGTGGCCAGCATGACTAAGCCGCTTCTGGCGAACCAGAGCAGTGCACGGAAATGCCGTTTACCTTCCCACCGGAGTGGTACCTATTTATCTACTCGCACTTTGACATGCTTTCGAATTGCTAGGTTGGAAGGAGCTGGGGCCGAACAATGGGAGCTCACCCTGTGGTTGTAGGTCAGTGGGGGAGCACATGTTTTGCATGCAGGAATCAATCAATCCATGGCATCTCCCAGACAGATCTGGGAGAGACCCCTATCTGAAACCCCAGAGAGCTGCTGCCAGTCAGTGTTGGCAGTACTAAGCTAGATTGAGCAATGGACTGACTGGGGATAAAGCAGCTTGCTCTGCCCTTCTGCCCCTTTCCACAGCATGTAACTGTGACTGTATGTGAGTATCAGGCTAAAGAAGGGCTGGAACGAACCCTGATCAGGGAGAGCTGAAGCTTTTTAGAGGATGTCTTTCCAACTCTGTCTAAGGGCTTCTGGGTCCTGAAGGCAGCAACTGAGCCTCGGCACTGGGGCTGGCAGTCTGCTGCAATTACTTTCCTCCAAGCACTATGCATCTGTCTCCAGCACTGTGACTTATGAGCATCCCTTGTTGTCCAAAAACAAAAGGGTCGGGCGGGAGAGCCCTTCAGGCAAGCAGGCTGGGACTTGCCTGATGCCAGGCAGGCACCGTGCCCTGGCAGCTCTCCTTTCAGCCTTGGTCTGGGCTGAGGAACAGGAGCAAAAGGCAGAGCCCCACCTGGAGCAGTGTGCATTGACGGGCACTCGCTGCAGCCAATGAGGCTGAGAGGCAGGCCAGTGGGGCCCCTCCCTTCTCCCTGTTAGGAGGAGCACATACTGATACAAGGGGAGGCGGAGAAGCAATTCAGAAGGCAGAGCAGGTGAAGGAGGAGGAAGAAGGTGCCAAGCAGCAGCAGCAAGCGGAGCAGTCAAAACAGCAGGCAGCATCTCCTTCAGTGGATGGCTTAAGCGCTCCCTCCTGCTCTTCAAACTTCGCACCTGCGGTGGGCATCCCCTTGGGGCAGACAGACCCACCAAGGTAAGCAACAGCCCTGGTGACCCCAGCAGTCCCAGGGGTTTGGGAAGAGCAATGGGGTTTGTGTGTTTGTGTGTGTGTTGATGCTTTTACAGGGAAGACAATCCCAAGCCACTATCCTTGTGCTATCAACAGTGCTGCAGTTATGGCATCTGTTTTGTCCTCTCTTTTCTGGTCAGGGCATCTCCTGGTTGTCTATCCTTTAATTCAGGGGGATGCAGGTATCGCCCAGGTGTCTAGCAAGCACACAGCTTCAAAGTGATGTCCACTCACCTGTTTCACCACAATTATGCCAGGAAAAGCTATCTTACCCCAAACCGATGGAAAATACCAGATGCTTTTAAAATATGCTTAATTCCTCGGCAGAGAAGTGAGTGGGTGGGTGGGGGGTTGGGATCAACTTTTATTGGAAGTCCTGCCACCCTAATCCCAAACAGATAGGAGTGGGATGGTTTCCCTTGCCTGGGAGGAAAAGCTCTCTGCACATGCTTAGGGATACCCATGATCTGATGCTTCTACCGTTGCATGTTCTAGGGCTGGCATGTGGAATTCAAAATGGGTTCTGCACATTGGCTCAGATGAAACCCTCCTTACAGTGCGCCCCACTGGCATACTCCCTCCATCCAAACCCCTTGCTGCCCCTGTAGCAATCCCCCCTTCCCAAATGATCTCTCTTCCCCTCTCTCTTCAACACCCCCTTTCAAAAAGAAAACAGACTTTGTGGATTCCGTGTCTGAGCGTATAAAATCTCAGAGTGGCTGGCACTGCAGTGGAGGGGGGGCGGTGGTGGTAGAGGGAGAACGTTCCTGCCTTTAGGAGCTAGCAGATGGGGAGAGGGAGGAAGGAAGCGAAGGGGGAGGTGTGTGATGTGGCCTCCTCTCTGGGCAGGAAGAGGGAACCGGCAATTCAGTTTTGCAGTTTGACTGTGCTCTCCAAAGACCGAGGGGGAATCCTTGTGCCCATTCTGCACTGATTTCCAACACTGCACAGACAAAAATAGGAATGCTTGCCTGTACTTGCAACACCCCCCATTCTCACACAGCAGAGCCTGAACACCCCACCATTCAACCCCCACAGGTTGCGGGAGGTGGTTGTGTTCCTTCACTTTGCAGTGACCTCTCCTGTGACAGCCTCTGAAGCAGGCGCTGCTAAGCAAAGTGGCCCTGGCAGTTTCCTAAGAACATGCAATAGAGCATTTAATCTTGGTGTGGATCTGCCTGGACTTGTGAAAAAGCGGGTGCTCGACACATTCACATTCAGCAATACTGGATAGGTGTTTTGAAGAACCCTTCAAAAGGAGACAGGGCCTGGGTATTTGAGGCTGTTGTGCATGTGCTGATACACCCATGTACACTCAAGTCAAAAGGTCTCCATTCTGCCTACAGAGACCTAATGACCCAAAAGAGGGCGGCTGAATCCTGAAGAGCAGAAATATGGCCAGGATTTGTTGGGAGGGAAAAGGTGAATCCTGATATTTCCCTTAAAAGGGCTAATGATTTATCTGGGAGAAGTACCAGAAGACAAGGGCACTTAAATAGGAACACTTAGTGTACACATAATAATCTCTTGGAGCTAAAGCCTTGGCACATCGGCTGAGGCCAGTGGTTTTGTGCACTCACGAACATTGTCTTACTCATTCAAGTGAACAACTGGAGAGGTCAGTAGACGGTTGCGCTTTTAGGATTCCCTCTCTGTCCTCCATAAAAATACAGTTTCAGATATCCTTGCAAGCAAGTCTGCAAAACCTACTAGACAACGCAGGGCTGACTGAAGCCATTTACGGCACACCAATGGCCTGAGGAGAGGGAAAGCGCCAACTCTCTTTCAGAACGCAAAACACTTCTCTGCTTGGAAGCAGCCCTGGTCTCCCAGAGGTTTGTCTTATTCACCATAGGTGAGTATTTACAAGCCAGAACTAAGACCAGAGTAGCAGGCATCAAATAAAGACCAGTCCTCTGTAAAATTGAACCCAGAGTCAGAGTTGTGAGGGGTTTCGTAAGGGATCAAGCATTTTTGTGAAAGGAAGAAGTGGGGGGGGGGTTGGAGCTCTGGGTTCAGTCCTCCAACCTTGGAAGAAATCTTGGTGTGCCTCTGAGCTCACAATTTCTCCCATTCATTTCAAATAAGCCTGTGCAGGAGAACTTTCCAGTGGGTTGTGGCTCATGTTTATTATTAGCACATATGACTGGGGCTATTTGGACTTTCTACTTTCACTACTGAAAGGTTGTTGGTCTCCATTCTCCTAGAGGCAATCTTGTCCTCAGCAGGTTTGCTTGGAGGAAACTTTCATTGATTTTGTGGGACCTCTGCACAAAAATGCTTAGGAGGGCAGCTGCCCTAGGTTGACTCCCTTCTGTGCAAATAGGGAAATAGCGGAGGCAGATTAGGAAAGTGCGACTGGTTCGGTCACAGTGGGTGCAGAGCCTCAGGGGCGCCACAGGGGGTGCTGCAACCATGATGTAGAATGGAAGGTGAGAGGCAGGGTGGACCGCTGAGTTTTGGCATCGCACAGGGTGCCGCTGAATTTTAAGACCCCAAGATCTGCCACCGGGAATAGGATGGGGAAATGGGAGGTGGCCAAACAGCAGCTTCCAGAATAAAAGCCCACCACTTTGCAATATCCACCTCCAAGGGGAGGATAGCAGGCTGGAGCAAAGTATTTTTTGCTATAAACCTAAAGAGGAAGTGGTAGGGGTGTTGTTAGGCAAGGACCTGAGCCCTGGGCCTTTTGCACCAGGATTGTCTAACCCCGCCCACTTTAAATATAAGCTGAAAATCAGTTTATATGTGCATCCTTACATAAAAAATTAGCATATGCATGTTATGCAAATATGTGTTATAGACTGGCTGAGTCTCACGTCCTTTAATGACCTAGCAACACTCCTGAGGAAGTTGCCTGAGACCAGTTAGAAAAATGAGCAAGCAAAGCAGGGATGGGGGGAGATTTTGGAGGTGGGCAGGATGTGCTGTGAACAAGTTATTGAGATACAGCTCAGGCATGGATTTCCCTCATAAAGGCTAAATGGGGTGGGGAAAGAGAGAGATGCAGGCTGGCATTTTGATGACATTGACATCTTATAGATGCTGCATAAAACTTGGGTGAATGAGGGGCTCCTATCCCATAGTAAAGAATCATCTTATAAGATGTGGTGATACCTGGCTTGCCAAGGAGTACATGTGAAAGGGATTTGGGTGCCTTAGTGGACCACAAACTTAACATGAGCCAAGAGTGATGCAGCAACAACAAAAGCTAACGCTATTTTCGGCTGCATCAACAGAAATATAGTGTTCTGATGAAAGGAAGTAATAGTTCCACTCTCTTCTGCCTTGATCAGACCACACCTGGAGTACTGTGTCCAGTTCTGGGCACCATAATTCAAGAAGGCTATTGACAAGCTGGAACGTCTACATAGGAGGGCAACTAAGATGATTAAGGGCCTGCAAACCAAGCCTTAAGAGGTATGGTTGAGGGAGTTGGATATGTCTAGCCTGGATAAGAGGAGACTGAGAGGAGATATGAGAGCCATCTTCGAATATCTAAAGTGCTGCCACATGGAAAATGGTGCAATCTTGTTTTCTCTCACTCCGGAGGCAAGGACTTGGATTCAAGTTACAAGAAAGGAGATTCCAACTAAACATCAGGAAGAACATCTGACAAGTTAAGAGCTGTTCAACTGCTCAATGGGCTCCCGCAGAAGGTGGTGGCCTCGCTTTCCTTGGAGGTTTAAAAACAGAGGTTGGATGGCCATCTCTCGTGGATGCTTTAGCTGAGATTCCTGCACTTCAGGGGGCTGGACGAGAGGACCTATGCGGGTCCCTTCCAATTCTACAATTTTATGATTCTATGAAACGGGGAAGATTACTTTAAGGGCTTTTCCCAGGCACAGGGAGAGTGGAAGGATTTCAATAAATTATTTCCCTCCATGGGTGGATGTTGAGGAAGTTTCTCTTCCTATCAGAACAGGGTCCCAACAAACAAAAGAGGCAGAAAGCATAATCTTTGGTGTTTGTATAATGCTTTAAGATGTCCATGCATTATCTTGTAATCCTTACAGTGACGGATAAGGGAGAAATTCGATTCAGGCCTCATCCAAACCTCTGCTTGTCTGGTGCCTAGAAGGCACAGGTTCCAGTGGTTTGCCCCATGTCCTGCTCCTTTCCCAGGGAAAACTTGTTCTTTAGCTCTAAATCAGAGCAACTGTCAAGCCGGAGAAAACACAAATTGCTATTTGCTGTGATTGAGCACTAAAGAGTGGGGGAAAGCAGCAGGACAAGAGGAAGTGTGGCTAAGCCCTCAGCTCTCATTATAAAACCAAATGTATCAAATTCACACTTTCCGAAACAGCATGAGAATCAAAATACAGAACCACCCTTCAACATTCACACATATCTGAATTTTGCAATGCAATTCTCTAACTAACCGATGATTACAAAAATGCATATATTAGGGAGAGATGGGTATACAAATGAATATAATACCAGTGAAAGCAACATACAAAATGCATTATAGTAGGAGAAATTGCTTGCAAAAAGTCAAAACTGTAGGCAAAAATGTATTTGTTGGGAGAAATTTGCACTGAAATGCTGAAGAATTTCCATGAGGATTTGAAAAAAGAAGAAATTTAAGAAATTGCTGCATAAACCAGGAGAAGTGCATGTAAGATTGGAAAAATGAGAAACTGGGAAAAGGGAAACTGACAGATCCTTCCATCCTTACTTACAACACCTCTGCAAGGCAGATCCGTGTTGTTCTACTGTTGCAGATGGGGCAGAATGCTTTCTCTAAGCCAGCCTCCCCTAAGCTGGTGCACCATAGATGTTTGGCTGGGGCAGATGAGAAATGTAGCCGAAACAGCTGGAGGACACCAGGTTGGGGATGGCCACATTCAGCTGTATCTCTCCTCTGATCTGATGCATACTCTCCAACTCCCCCCTTGTCATTGAGGGTTGTCACTCTTGGTAGTTACCTCTGCATCTGATGTAGCAACTCTGGTACATGTAAGGAATTCATAGTCAACCTAGTTTAACTGTAGTTAACAGACCTAATGGTTTCGTGGCACTGGTGGAGAACTGTACCTTGCATCCAATTATCATCTGACATCCCGGTTAGTGTTTCCTTCTGTTTGTTGCTGTGATTAACTTACAGCTTGTTGAGGGCAATGGACATTTCTTGTCCTCTAAGGTTTCCCATAATACAACCCCATTTTCATAAGCCATCTCTGGCCCAGTTTGAGATTCTTACCCACCTATATTGGAGCTTCCTTTTTCCTGCTGGGGGTTCTGGGAAGAGAAAGGGGTTGAAACCTCACTGACCTGCCTTCTCCATCTTTGAGGTGTTGGTTTATTAGGTATGATGAAGGTGGTGGTGGTTTTAATTTATTACCCTTACTTCTCCCTAAGGTCACAGGGTGGGTTGCAAGAATTTAAAATGCAATATTAAAAACAGTTTAGGGCAACGTAACACTCACAGAAATAGAGTGGGTCCCAAAAATGTAGATTTCAGGTGTCAAAGGCCAGGGTGAAGACAGATACACCCCTGTGAGGAGGGCATTCCACAACTTAGGGGCTGCCACAGAGAAGGCCCTATTCCAAGCTGCTGCCATTCCTGAACTTCCGAGGGCAGCAGAACTACCTGCTTTGCTGATCTTAACACCCAAGGGGGTCTGTAGGGAAGGAGGCGGTCTTTCAGATATTTGGAGGGCTTTAATACAAACACTTTGAATTGGGCCTGGAATTGAACTGGCAATCGATGCAGCTGTATTAAAACAAGGGTTATCTGAGATCTAAATAGAGCACCATCCACTAATCTGGTCGCTGCACTTTGGACCAGTTGAGGTTTTCGAGTCCTATTCAAAGGCAGGCCCACATCAGGGGCACCCTGAGCGAGGACAGAAATTGGCACCCCCTAATTTAGAGTAGGTACCTATATAAATATAGGTTTGATGATGATACTGATCATTTTGCACCCCCTCGGTTTGGTGCCCTGTGGGGGAAACGCTCACACTTCCCTAAATCCAGCGCTGCCCACACAGATTGCAGGAGTATGGGGTATGGTCACTTTTCCCGGGATCTGGCGCAAGACTATTTTCTGCTACTCCAGAGGGTAGGATTCAAACCAATGGATTCAAATGGCAAGAAATTAGATTCTGGCTAAACATTAGGAAGGACTTTCTGACCGTAAGAGCTATTCAACAGTGGAATGGACACCCACGGAAGGTGGTGGACCCTCCTTCATTAGAGGGTTTTAAAACAGAGGTTCATTGACCATCTGTCAGTGATTATTTAGCTGTGGTTTCTGCAACACAGGAGGTTGGACCTTTGGGCCCCCTTCCAACTGTGCAATTCTATTATTCTGGTTGATTGTTTCTTTGTTTTTAAGTTTCTGTCCCTCATGACTGCAGAGAAAAGGTCTAACAGCTTAAGGTTTAGGATTCAGAGGAGGGCTCAGATAGGATGTACAGCGGTTAGGTGTAAAATCTCCAGACCTCACAGAGCTTTCTGCCCTGCCATAATGTGTGCGTGTGCTCCTTAGCTAGCTCTGTGCCTCTTGCCCCATCCCACTCTCCAGCATCCCATACCTCTCACCCTTACCTAATCTACACATTAGAACTGGGACAAATAATCCCTTTTTGAACAGAAGTAGATCTTCTTCAAAATGGTGCCTCACTTCTCCTGCTCCTAAAACAGCAGTAGGATATTGACTTCCAGTTGATTAGACTCATGAGGCTGTTCCCCCACCCCCCAAATCACAGCCACCTGCCCAATAACTGGCATCAAGTGTGACATCAGGTGATGGGGCAGGTAAAGACATGGTGGGAATTCCACATCAGGAATTCCCTAGTGTAGCTAATGGGGCCAATGTCAGCGCTGACCAGCTTTTGAAGGTGTGATCAGCTTTTGAGCATTAAGAGGAGCACCTTTGAAATCCATTGGTGCCGTTTCACCCTCTCCTGGGGTGGAGAACATCTGTGGCCCTCCAGATGTTGCATGACTACAACTCCCATAATCAGGCTGAGGCTGGTGTGCGCTGGAGTGTCAGTGGGGGGGGGGCACAGGTTCCCCACCCCTGCTCTGTTTTCAAGGTAACTCAAAAAGCCACCTTTCCCAGGCTAAGTTCTGCATCTGAGAGTGTCATGCAAATGGTGCCTCCTTTACAACAGGTTTCCTGTTCTCTTATGCAAATAATTTCCCCCTGTCCCAGTCAGCATAGAAGGGCTGTGTGTCGACCAGAAAGGGAGGCAAATTTCTGCAGCTCACACACTAGACAGAGATTCCTTGAGTCCAGCCGCAAATCTGCATTCACACCCCAGCTGTTGGTTCTGCCTTCGCTTCACAGTAGAGGCTTTGGTGCATTGCGAGAAAGAAATAGACAGAGGCACGTGTGGCAGTAAGCAAGGTAAGAGCATGGAAAAAATACAACCATAGTGTATAGTGGCCATTATGTGCAGCAGGACCAGGGGACTTTTTGTCCTTCTCAAACTGGGTGCACCCAGGCGGTTCTAATTTGGGGGAGTGAGAGGATTTCCCTGTCTGCAGTCCAGAAATGTGGGCACTACATTCTCTGGGTCATACCTATCATGCAACAAGGTGAAGTCTGCTTCAGGAGCTGCCATGGTGGGTGTTGACAAAGGTAGGAATTGGTGTCTGACCCTGGGAAGAAGTGTGTTTGTGAGATGAGAGGGAGAGAGGGAGAGAGAGAGAGATTTGAGCATCATTAGAAGGAATGAAATGTCTTCGGCTGCGGCGTCTGTAGTGTCGTTGCTGCATATGACTGAGAGACTCTCTCTGGAGGGCCATCATGATTGGCTTCAGCTTGGACTACAGCCCCCATCAGCCCCAGCCAGCACAGTTGAATGATGCTGGGGCTGATGGTAGTTGAAGTCCAAAAAAATCTGGAGAGTGCCAGGTTGGAGAAGGCTGGCTTAAAGAAGTCACCCTCCTTTCCATTTCCAGCAGACGGCAAAACGCTCAGTTTGATGCCTCCTGTTCTGAAATACGCTCCCCTAAACCTATATTTTCTTTTAGCCAGTTTCATCTTTATTTTGGCTCCCAAAAATATTGGCAACATTTATATCAGCCTTTCCCCAAGCTGGTGCCCTCCAGATGTTATGGAGGACAATTCTCATCAGCCCCAGCCAGCACAGCTGTTGTTGCCAAGGGGTTCTTGCCATGGAAGCACAACTTAGCTTATTTGCCAACAAAGCAGAAGAATTTAGAGAAACAGAGTAGAATCATGAGTTCAAAGGGAAATGGCTTATCCTCGACCACATTTAGAAATAGAGTGAAAAATGCAGCATTTACCTCCTGAGTTTTACTGGGTACGTTTTAATCTTGGCTGATTTAATAGCGGAGAGAAGCAAAAGGGGAGAAGGGAGATAAAAATTCCCTCTTCTGAATGTTCCCATGCAGACAAGCCCAGTGACATGACCTTGAAGCAACACCAGCTATTGCAGCCTTCTGGCATTTAGTGCCGTCTGGGTGTTTTGGACTGCAACTCTTGTCTAGCTGGGGTTGCTAGGAGTGGCAGTCTTAAACATCTGGAGGGCACCAAGTTGGGGAAGGCTGCCCTGTTGAAAAAGTAAACAGGTGCTCCCTTCCATGAATTTCTTGTTTGCACTCCAATACCAAACCCTTACAGCTCACCAGTAATATCTGGCGCAAAAGTAGCTGGTGGGTTTGATTTTCCTCTTCGTCTCTTGAACTTGCTGCCTGAACAGGTTTTTGCTTTTGTTTTAAAGAACAAGAGTAGAGAACCTTTGGCCCTCCAGCTGTTGTTGGGAAATGATTCCTAGCTTCCCTGACCCTTGGTCATGCTGGCTGGGGCTGGCTGGAGGGCTGCAGGTTCCCCATCCCTGTTTGAAAGAGGGAGAATGAGAATATACTGTATGCAGCTGTTGGGCAGCCCTTTCGTGTGACACGAGCACCGAAATACATATCAGCTGGATGCAGCTTGGTTTTAGAATGTGGGGAGACAAGCCATGCTTGAGGGTCATAGAGAAGGCGTAACATAATAACTGCTTGCAGGGTGGGATCAGAATGCTTTTGCTCGCTTCTATTTCTGTTCTTTCTCCAAAGGAAAATGAAAAAAATGGCTTAATTGTGCGGAGGGCAGGGGGCCTTTTTTGGCTGAATCAAAAAAGGTCTGTGGAAGGAAGATGGGGGAAACAAATGGGGAGACATGCAAGGATGAAAGAGTTGGCTGGTAGCTTCGGGGACGTGCTCTGCTGCTGCTGCTGCTGCTGCTGCTAGGAACAATTTCACTACAGTGCAGCTGTTGCCATGGCAGCCTCAGCACCTGTTGCTATGTGTAGCAAGGATGGGTATTGAAATGCTTGTCCCTTCTCTTCTCTGCCCCAAATCTCATCCTGAACATAACACCCCAGTGAAGGAGTCGGGGGGGGGGTCAGAAAAGCCTGAAAGGGAAGCTGTTATTCATAATCTCTTTATTGTTAATCAAAAGAGGTAGCTATTTTGGTCTGTTAGAGCTAAATCTACAGAGACGGTGGAACACAGCCGTTATTAGGGCTGGCAAAGGTTCGCAATGTAGCTGCAAGCTTTTCAGTTACACAGAGCTCTTCCTCAGTCTGGAAGTAAGGATACCCTCTTCTCGAAATATCTATTTATTCACACAAGTGTGTGCCTGTGTGCCTGTGTGCATTATACAGATATGTAACATTTTGCCTGAAGGTGGAATACAGCGCAACACATCATGTCACCTATAGAGCTTTTCAGAGCCCTTTAAAATGCATGTCCCATTTTGTTGTGGCAAAATGGATGTGAGCTTTCAGGCTGCCTGATCTGGAAATTAAACAGTTCCTGCCCACCTCCAAACCCAGCAGTCTTTCAGCTGCACCATGAGCAAAACCTACAACATTTGGAGCATTTTTGTTTAGAAAGCAGGTGACGGGTGGAGGGGGGGAGGAATGGGACATGGCAGAGGCTCACAACTTCATAGAGGATAAAACTATCAGTGGCTGCTAGTTGTGATAACTCTATAGAATGGTGTTATGGTTCAGTGGTTAGAGCATATACTTTGCATGCAGACGTTCCCAGGTTTAATGCCCCAGGGCATCTACAGGCAGAGCTGCGAAGCCTCCCTTCCATCATCAGAGACTGAAATGCAGGGTGGGTGGGTGGGTTTGATGTGTGCTGTGACATTTCGCTAGGTGCCTACTCCCATTTTGTTTCCATCAGCCCAAAGGAAAGGATGCTGCATGCGTGACAATTTTCTTTTATTTCTGTATTATAAAAATGCAGCTCTTTCTTGCAAAACTGCTCTAGCACAAAACAGCTGTTTATTATTATTTTTTTTACAAAAAACCCAAACCATAAGATTTGCTTCATGTGTGCAAACAAGCGAGAACAGCACAGACTTAGAGTGCGGAGGTGGGGGAGGTGAGCCATCTTTCTGGCGATAAGTATATAGAGATGTGACCAATTTTCAATTACTCAGTCTGCAAAGGGGCTGGAACTCAGGGAGGGTGGACAGCAGCACACAGCCCAAATACAACCCAGGATGGACTGGCTACTTCTGTGCTTATTAGGGTCCTTCAGGAGGAATAAATACAAAAAATGCAATGTGAACTGGAAACATCAAGACTGAAAGCACTCATGGGTGCATGATGGCACACAAATGTGCACATGGGGAAATTGGCCTGTGCATGCATTAATGCCCTAGTGTGGACACAGCCTCAGGATGAGGCAGCTGGTATGTTCAGAAGGAACCTACCTCTGAATTGTAAGGCAAGGGCGGTCTCTGGCCTTCCTGGGGGTTCTGACTGGCCACTGTCGGAAGCAGGATGCAGAACCAGGCCTTTGATCTGCTCCAGGTGGGCTCTTATGTTAACCTTTCTCTGCAGAAAATATCCCCCACTTCTCCACCTCTTGTGCGTATGGAAGGCTGCATGGATACATGATTTGTGCTGGATGTAATAGCTGGGCAGAGACAAAGAAAGAATTGGGTTTCCTGTTAGGGTCTCCGGCCATATCACCCCACTCCTCTCTGCTGGCTGGCACACCTTTTTCACCACACAGCAGTTTATTGTGTGCTTAGTGCTGCTCCTGCATGCAAGCTTTGCCGTGTCCATATCACATTTTTCTCATCAGAATGTATGTTATTTCCCCATTTGATCTGGATCTACCATTTCCATGGAAAAATTGATAAGTAAAAAAACGACAATAGCAAAAGCAAACCAGTGACAACCTGGATTTGGATTAAATGGGGGCAGGGGGGTATGGGATGGCAGTTTTATGAGGACAAGGTTGTGTGAGTGCAGCAAACAACCACAACACTGCCTGCCTCTAAACTGCTGCATGGAAGCACTTCTGATCCCAGCTGCCTTCAAGAGCAAAAACCGAACCGAAGGATGGAATCTCTCCTCCCAGCCTTTGATTTCCCTGAAGGTCAACAAAATAACTATCTCTTGAAATGCAAGAGGGGAGGGTAAACATGTGAAGTGTGCCCTCGTCAGTTGCTTGGCACCGAGAGAGAAGTGACAGAGGGGAATTTAACTGGCAAGGGAAGGGAAGGATTTTGCATCTCCTTTGCTTGAGCAGGTGGGGAAGGGGGATGTGGGCAAGGGGGTCACCTGCCTCCACCTTTTGACACCTTCTTCAAAACACAAACTCCAATTATGAAGTCAAGCTATTGGTTCGTGCCGATCTTTGTACTGCAGCCTTGTCCAACCTGTTGCCTGCCAAGGCTGCTGGGGGCAGGGATGAGGGCAGCAGAGGAGGGAGACAGGTTGGAAGAAAGCTGCAATGGGAGGCGCTGGTTCAGGGCAGAACTGCATTATTGCACATGTGAACGCTAAGGGCACCATCAGGGCTGCAGTCTGATGCTTGCTTACATAAGAATCAGCCACACGGAACAGACATCCATTTAAAGAACTACCATTCCACAGCCATATCTTCCCCCAAAGAACCCTATTCCCCTCACAGAGCTACAATTTCCAGTGTGACTTGTATCCCTCTTTCACAGGGAACTCTGGGAATCATAGCTCTGTGAGGGGAATAGGGGTCTCCTAACAACTCTCAGCACCTGTAACAAGCTACAGTTCCCAGGATTCTTCGGGAGATGCTGTGACGCTTGAAAGTGGCGTAATAGTGCTTTCCGTGTATGGTACATTGGATGGTGTGTGTGTCGTGTGTGTCGTGCTGTAACAGTGCACAAAAGGCTGCGTTTGTCACGAGTGAGAGAGAGACTCATCCAAGCAGGGGCTTTTTTTCTGAGCTAACTTCCAAGGGAAGAAATGGAGAGAGAGCCCCATGCAAGGATGGCAGAAGCGAGCGCCTTCCCATCAGCCATCTGTTGTTCAGAGTGAACTAGCGAGGAAGTGCCAAGGCTGCGTGGGAGCCCTCGCTGGCGATGGAGGATTCGTCATCTCTGCCAAAATAGGCCGCCTGTTAAACTGTATAGGAAGTCGGGGGGGGATAGCACCCTTTTTTTAAGTTGGTGGCTTTCCTTGTGGTCTGGGCCGGTCCTGCTATTAGCCAAATGGAGGAAACCACCTCAGGTGTCAGTCCTGGAGGGGCAGCAATGGCAGACCCCAACTGTTCCCCTGAGGCTGTCTCTAGCTATTCCTCTTTGTTGGGGGGCAGTGCTGTGTACATCACATGTCCTGCACCCCCCGCCCCCCAAAAAACTAGCCTGCTCCCTGCAGGTGCAGTTGAGAATGCTTGTATTGAGGAAAGAATCAGTCATTCTCCGTATACAGGAAGGATGTGTGATGCCATCTTGTCCTTTGTCTCAGGCGGGAAATTTTATTAGTCTGACCCTGCCTGCAATATGTGGGTTGATAGGTCAAGGGGCAGAGAAATGGAGGGGAGAGCTGTGTGACAATGTATGTTTTTCTCCAGTGGATGCTGTGAGTCCCCTGATGAAGGGAAGTGGTGACAGAGGGCCAAACAAGGGAATAACACTGTTGTTGTTATATCCGTTGCACATAGGCCAGGGGTTTACTATCGCTGACGACATGTCGCTCTTTCTCTAGAACCAGCAATGGGAAAACACAACAGCAAACTGGCTCCAGAGATGCTGGACGACCTGGTGAGGAGCACTGAGTTCAATGAGCAAGAGCTGAAGCAGTGGTACAAGGGCTTCCTGAAGGACTGCCCCACGGGCATCCTCAATCTGGAGGAATTCCAGCAACTCTACATCAAGGTATGGTGGCGGTGGCAGGGAGTCCGTGGTCTGTGCAAGGATGCAGGGGCTGCCTTGGTGGGCCTTGTTGAGGTCCTGCTGTCTGAGCCTGGCACAGCAGCAAAGCTTGTTCCCATAGGACAGGGACCCTCAGGCCCTCCCTGACTGAATGTGTTGCACATGATGACCCTTGGGGTTCCTTCCAGCCCTACAATTCTATGATTCTGTGATCTCCACGTTGGGAAATTGCAACATGAATACAATAGGGGAAAGAGCAGAGCATGAATTCTGCAAACTGCTTGTGATATTTTCTGCAATATTGCCTTGCCATTGTCAGCTGATGCTGGTGCAGCTTGTAAGCAGAGCTTTCCCATCTAGGCTTTAAATTGGAAAAGGCTTGAATCCAATATAGGTGGCCTATGCCAAGTCTTTGCCCGGCTGTTGCCCACTGGCCTCCCAGATTGCTGCTAGCTGCTTTCCCTCTCATGGCTGCTCCTATCCCATCTTATCTCCTTGTAGTTTTTCCCCTACGGTGATGCCTCCAAGTTTGCCCAGCATGCATTTCGCACGTTTGACAAGAACGGGGATGGGACCATCGACTTCCGGGAGTTCATTTGCGCTCTCTCAGTCACCTCCAGGGGAAGCTTTGAGCAAAAGCTGAACTGGGCCTTTGAGATGTACGACTTGGATGGAGACGGCAAGATAACACGCTTGGAGATGCTGGAGATAATTGAGGTATGGGAGGACGCTAGCAATCTCTGTGGGTGTGTTTCTTCCTCAGCCTTGGTGGATTAGATTAGTATAGTGCAGGCTTTGGTAACCCAACACTCTCCAGATGTTAGGGCTGGCTGGGGCTGATGGGAGTTGTAGTCCAAAGCCTCTGGAGGGCCCTAAGTTGACAAAAACTCGTTTGGGGCATGAGCACTACATAGGAAGCCTCCTGTAGACAGCCAGGTAAGCTCTTTTCCTGGGATGGCAAGACACTGATAACAGCAATTACCTCTACCTGCCCTCTGAGACTAGTCCCAAGCAGATATCTCCTGGATGAAGAGACATCAGAGTGTCTCTGAGCCACAGAGCCATGTCCTCAGTCCTTCCTCCTTTGCCTTCCAGGCCATCTACAAAATGGTGGGCACCGTCATCATGATGAGGATGAACCAAGATGGGTTGACGCCGCAGCAGCGTGTCGACAAGATCTTCACAAAGATGGACAAAGACAAAGATGACCAGATCACCCTGGAAGAGTTCAAAGAAGCCGCCAAGAGTGACCCTTCCATTGTCCTCCTGCTGCAGTGTGACATGCAGAAGTAGAGGGAGGGTCCCAATGCACAACTCACCCCCCGCCTCCCCTGGCCTGGCCTACCCATCCTTGCATCTTTCCCCCCTTCTCCTGGGGAGCTGCAGACTCCACTCCCTGGGACAGGAGGCACTGTGTTTCGCACAGCCTCCTGGGCCCCAAACAAGGCCCCGCCATGCAATCCCCTGGGGCCTGCAGCTCATAATTTGCACAGTTCCTCTGGCCATTGCTCTTGTGACCTCACCAAGGTCCTATTAGAATGAATTTCTTCCGTCTCAGCCCTCTGGTCCCACCATCTCTGGGGCCCGTCATCCCTCTTGCCTCCCCCTTTGCACCCGGACATTCCCAAGAACATACAGGCCAACTTACCTTTCGATGGCTTGCCTATATATCCATGATCCTTGACAACTGCAAGGTCTTGTAATCCTCAGAAGTCTGTTATCCTTCACTTCAGTTGTAGCTTTTAGGATTAGGGCAGATCTCTTCCCTCCGGTGACCCTCTAACGTAATCTTCAGATGTGCCCCTTGAACAACAGCTCTGGGGCAGCCATTTCCCTCCCCTGCCCTGTAATTCCCCCTGCCCAACACACTCAGCTTGAAGCCCCAAATGGGGAACAGGTCATTTCTCCCCTCAACACCTTTCCTACCCCTTTCTTCACAGCCATGAATAATGGCAGCAGCAAAATGTCCTAGCAATGGGCAAAGGTATTCTTTCCCCCTCTAGACTCTCCTCCTCCTCCTCCCTTCCTTGAAAATAGAGTGGCACCACCTGCCATTGAAGGGGATGCCATTGCCAGAGGTAAGAAGTGTTTCTGGGTAATCATAGGACAGCATTCTCCAATCTGGTGCTGGCTAGTGCTGATGGTTGTCGTCCAAAACATCTGGAGGGCACTGTGTTGGGTAGCACTGTCCTAAGATGGCCGTGTTGAAAATGCAGGGTGTTCTGTGTTTGCTCTTCCTGAATCCTTTGCTCTTGCCATCCCATCTACTAATGCATAGGGGGAAAGAAACACCTGCATTTCAAAAGGGCCAAAGAATTTTAGATAGGTGGAGGAAATGCTATAGGATTCTGGGATTCTGGCATTCCATGATTGAAGCATCTCTCCTTCTTCCACCCAACATGAGACAACAGTCAGGTTTTTTGGTGGGTAGGGGATGCTCAACTGCATTGCAAATAGAGTTATTGTACATTTTATATTTGGCTGCAAAGGGAGCCCCTTTGAAACACAGAACCTGAGGCTTGCATTTTTAGGGTCCAGCTTTGAATGCTGGCAGAAACCTAATGCAGAAGATCTGTGGTTCTGCAGATGTTGCTGTGGTCCCCAACTCCCATCACCTCTGACAGATGGTTTTGCTGATTGAGGCTGATGGGAGTCGGAGTCCAGAAGCATCTCCAGAGCCTTCTGTTCCCTACTCTTGACCTGATCACCCCGGTCTGGAAGAGCAGGGCCAGCCCTAGACCTTTTTGGTGGCTGAGGCAAGACACACTGCCGACACACACACGGAGAGAGATCCAGGCCTGCTGGAAGGAGACCAGCAGTAATGTAGCCAGCACCAGGTTGGGGGAATGCTCCCTTTTCACCAAGACTCTCCCTGGCTTTGGCTTTCAGCTGTGTCTTTGGTTTATCCAAAACTGAGATGGAAGCCATTGCCACCAAGGCCAGAGAAGGGTGGCAGCTGGAAGAAAAATGGCAGCTGGGATCAGGATCTCCTGTCTCTTGTGGAGCATGCTGCCCATTGCTTCAGGTTGCCTCATTGGTGCACTGGCGGTGTGGAAGATAATGCTGGGTTTTGTTTTGCTATTTTACTGTAGGCGAGGAATGCATTTTGCCCCCAGGTTGAGCAAAAACAGATTTGGTTTGGAGCCAAACAATCCTATGTCAGAATTGCTGGGGCAGGGGGACCTGGTGGGAGGGGTCTCTGCTTTTTGCTGGGACAGTGCTGCACTTCCCAGACAGCCCTCTCTTCTCCCCCCTACTCACCCCCTCTTCTCCCACCCCTCTTCCAGATTGCATTTGGCCTGTGGCAATGTGGTTGTGTGAAGCTCTTGGCCCGGAGTGAGTGGGTGGGCTGTGTGCCCTCTTGTTCACTCCTTGAAAGTTTACAATTTTGCAAACTTGCACTGTGACGGAAGCCGCGTTAGCCCGTTTTTCCAGGCATGAAATGTGGGTGAAACGTAAAGAAAATGCCCCAATTTGAGCAAATAGAAGAAGGCATTGAAGAAGGCAAGACATGAAGGGTAAAATAAATATGGGGATCCTCTGTAATGCCAACTAGAGGAATCAAGTGGAAAAAAAATATTACTATTGTTATTATTTTTGGGACACTCTTGGCAGGGCACCTGGTGCAGGAGAAGACCTGGGAGGTGGGAGTGGGCTGGCTATGCTGAGCTCTCCAAAAGACTCAGCTCCAAAGCAGTGAAACTGCATAGAGATGAGCCCTAAGACCAAGGTTCAGACCTAGTGCTGAGCAATAGTTTAGCCTTAGGAGGATGAGCCACAGCAAGTCTCCTTACAGACTCTCTTCTCCCCCCTTCCTTCACCTCCTCTAGCAATTTGCATGGAGGAGTTCAGAAGCTTCTACTTCTGATTAACTGCAGATTCCAGTGTCATCTGAAACTGCCTAAATTACCGTATTTTTTGCTCTATAAGACTCACTTTTTCCCTCCTAAAAAGTAAGGGGAAATGTGTGTGCGTCTTATGGAGCGAGCAAATGCAGGCTGCGCAGCTATCACAGAAGCCAGAACAGCAAGAGAGATTGCTGCTTTCACTGCGCAGTGATACCTCTTGCTGTTCTGGCTTCTGAGATTCAGAATAGTTTTTTTCTTGTTTTCCTCCTCCAAAAACTAGGTGCGTCTTATGGTCTGGTGCGTCTTATAGAGCGAAAAATACGGCAACTCTTAACGATAGTTAGCAGAAACAAGCCAACTTCAAACCATAATTTAGGAATCTGGTTTCTTTCAATTCAAACCACATTAAGATTAACTGCACCATAAGGTTTGGATGGCACACTAAACTGTGGTTAAGCAAAATCTAAAATGGAAGCAGAAGGTTTGACTCACCTCTTTGCATCTGCACCAGAGTGGAGAGTCCTTGGGCTTGAGGCTCACCTAGGCTCACTCTTGGAACACCAAGCTGTGGTTTAGCTTAGCACTACATCTGAATGCAGCCACAGTATGGAGCCACAGCCAATCCCCAGGTCTGCTACCTCCACCCTTCATTGTCCCCATCCTGAACTGAAGATTATTCTTAGAGATCTTGTCCTGTCTGCTTGTTGTGGTTTTTGAATATTGTAATAATTGTTTAGAAACTGTGATGTTGTTTATAAATATATACATACATAGTCTTTTTTTAAAAAAAAAATTACTTGGGGGAAATAAAATGTGTCCAACACAGTGGAAGTTTAGAACTTGGCCTCTTTTTCTTAAAAAAAAGAAAGAAAAGCAATTATTTGTTTTATTTATTTAACAAGTTTTATATATGATAATTTAATAATTCTCACAACTTATATAAAATGGTATTAAATATTTGTTAACATTTTCATTAACATTAGACTTTTAAAACAGTAAACATAATAAAATTATCAAAATATAGGTAAAATCAGCATATTTTTAAAAAAGAAATGTACATGGTAAAATTACATTGCCTTAGAAAAGGTTTTAGGAGGCGTTGAACACAGTACAATGAAGGCACCTGCCTAATCTCAATAGGCAGGAATTTCCAGAGAATAGGTGTTGCCACATTAAAAGAGTGATTTCTCATAAGTATGGAACGAACACTGTGTGGCTCTCGGAGCTTCTCTTGCATGACTGGGGAAATGAAGGGGAAATTTGCAAACCTTACTTTGGACTTGGGTTATGGTTATGGTTTAAACACTGATCCTGCATTATCGCTGTCTGAGGGGCTGTAGCACAACAAATGCAGGACAAAAATACAAAGCAAAAAAGCCAACCCCAAAACATTTGCAGTATGAAAAGTGATACAGCTGCTGTTGGTGGGGAGGAAGGCAAGGAGGCCCAACAGTAGGTGTTGCCAGAGCCACTGGCAGGCAGAGCCAACTCATTCTGGCTTGGTCCCCATCTTACTCTCTCTTTTTTTTTTTTTAAATGATATTTATCAAAGTTTCAAAAAAGTACAAAAAATACAGAATACAAAAAGGAAAAAAAATAAAGTTTTTTTATAAAAAAAATCTAACCAAAGAAGTAAAAAATAAAAGAAAACATACCAGATAAAACAATTAAGAGGACATTAAATTTCCATAACCTATCTTCCTTATACTTATTTCCCCGGACCTCCTCATACCTCCCTTTTTTGTATTCCAGTTCAATTTGTTGATTCAGCAAATCCTTACCGTTAAAATTACCCAGTTGCAAACCTTTTTTCATATCTCTTAAAGCATTACAGCTAAAAAAACCCTTAGTTTCTATCCAACATCCTTCTAAGATTCCTTAATTTTACAATATTTCTGGAAATAGTCTTTAAATTTCTTCCAGTCTTCTTTCACCATCTCTTCTCTCTGGTCTTGGATTCTGCCGGTCCCCATCTTACTCTCCACTGGGTTCCACAAAGGCAGCGCGGTAAAGGCAGGGGAAGCTGACAGCTGGGGCAACTCACCTGGACTGGATGTCAGTAAGAAGGCAAGCAGGGGGAGGGCTGGCTGAGAGCAAGCTTAGATTGGTGGGGCATGGCCTCACTCGCCCTCAGACACCATCCTCCTCCCCTGACACGCAGGCTCCACTGTCACTTCTGCTGGCCTCCACCCTAAAACACAACATTAATACAGTGGTACCTCAGGTTAAGTACTTAATTCGTTCTGGAGGTCCGTTCTTAACCTGAAACTGTTCTTAACCTGAAGCACCACTTTAGCTAATGGGACCTCCTGCTGCTGCTGTGCCGCTGCTGCACAATTTCTGTTCTCATCCTGAAGCAAAGTTCTTAACCCGAGGTACTATTTCTGGGTTAGCGGAGTCTGTAACCTGAAGCGTATGTAACCCGAGGTACCACTGTAAAGCCACACTATCCTGTGGGCATGGCTTTTAACAGCCACTAGAGGGCACTGGAAACTACGGAAAAGGCCAACTCCCGGCCTGAGGGCAGGGAGCCAAGGAATTGCAAGCTGGGAGAAAGCTGTTACACTCAGGTCCTGCTTGCAGGCTTTGTACAGAGAGGCATCTGGTTGGCCACTGTGTGAGCACAGGATGCTAGACAAGATGGGCCTTTTGGCAGGGCTCCTCAGATCTGATGCTGTCCCACGTGGGATCCTTTTCTGGCCCAGAGGCAGAACTGATTTTCCAACGTGCTTTTGGGCGGCTGGAACTCAAAGAGCTGTCTGCTTTGCAACCGTGTCTGTGCTGCTGCGTGTCACCATTTAGCGCAGATGAGCCAGCCTTGAGAATCAACGTCTTTCGTCGTGCCTGCCTGCCTACCTGCTCAGGGTGACTCACCAGAAGCACAAATCACACTTTCCATCCCACGTTCTGCCTCCCCCTCCTGCGAGAACATTTGTGGCAGTGTTGAAGGATTCCCAGGACTCTCCCCCACCCTGCACACATGCACACACACACACACCCCGTGGGATCTGGATTTGAGCTGTGTCAATTGCTCTTTCGTTCAGCCAACATCCCTGCCAGCAAAGATGTGTGTGTATATGCGCTTGATACATCATGTTTGCGGACACCCCAATCTCCAAGCGGCGAGAGACTACAGGGACACCTGCACTTACCTGGGATTTTTGTTTCCTTGGAAAGGAGGTCAATGGAGACTGTGGTGTTCTTGGGTTGTCTGGTTTTATTGACACATATGTACAACCTGAGAATGAGATGGGTGGGCTCCCAGCATGAGCACACCAACAGCTTTTATCTCCCCATTAGGGTTTCAGGGAAGCCCCTACTCACAGTTCTGGGTCCAGCACAGAGCAAGACAGTCTAACTGTTTCCCTATTTGACAGTGAGCTGGTTCTGTCAAAACAGTTTGTTTATAGCTCTGAATACACTACAAATTATTTGACACACCTTGTTAAGCACCTCTGCCCTTCTGCCTTTCGCTTCCCCTCTATTCCTCATTGCTTTGGTGGGAGACAACAGGAGAAGGTTTGAATCAAAATGGTCCAATCATTCTGGTAGAGCTCTTGATCATATGATCGGGTCAGCCGGAGATGATTTGATCTGGAATGTGGAAAAGGGTCGTAGTTTGTAGCTTGTGACAGAGGATCTGGTTTGCATGCAAAAGGTCCCAGGTAGGGATGGAAGGAACCACCCATTTTGGTTCTCTGTTTTCCAATCCCAGATTCAGTTCTCCACATATAAGGCAGTTTTCTATGTTCCTAACGCGTGCAAAGGATGTTGGGAAAGATTGAGGGCACAAGGAGAAGGGGACGACAGAGGTTGGGATGGTTCGACAGTGTTCTCGAAGCTACCAGCATGAGTCTGACCAAACTGCGGGAGGCAATGGAAGACAGGAGTGCCTGGCGTGCTCTGTCCATGGAGTCACGAAGAGTCGGGCACGACTAAACGACTAAACAACAACAACGTGCAAAGGAACAGCAAACAGAAAAAGTGCAGAATACATTTGCAGCATCGTTTGGGGGGCACTACTGAGCCCTTTGCTTCTGAGAAAAAGGTGCCGTGGGCAGGGGTCAGGAAGCTTGAAGCCTTGTCAACTCTTTTGAGAAGCAAACTACAGCTGGAAGCAGATCACCTATATTTAAAGGGAGTGAAATTGAATCAGTGGGCTCAGATAGCTGGATGTGCAAGAGGGAGAGGCATCTGGAGCTTGCTCTGAGTTTCTTCCTCTCCCTGGCAAATTCTAGGCCCATCCTTCTCACCAAAGTGGTAAACTGGCCCACTTCCAAAATGGCCCACAGCAGACTGCAGGAGCAGGGAAGGTCGCTTAACAACACATTAATTAAGCTCCTCCACTAAGAAATTAAGTAAATCCCTGCAAAGAGAAAGCAAACATGTCAAGGACAAAGGTTGAGGGTAGCTTTCTCCCTGGCATGCTCGATTTCTATGTGTGTGTGATTTATGTAGTTATTGTACAGATAAATATTCAGTTACTTGGACCCACACCTTGGCACAGCCCAAACAGAAGTCCAGAAATTCTGACTTGGGGGCAGGGATTTTATTTATTTGATTTTATTTATTACATTTATATCCCACCTTTTCTCCAGAGAGCACAAGGTGGTGCACACAGTTCTTTCCCTCCCGATTTTATCCTCACAACAACCCTGTGATGTAAGTTAGGCTGAGAGACAGTGACTGGCCCAAGGTCACCTAGTGAGCTTCATGGTTGAGTGAGGATTTGAACCCTGATATCCCAGGTCCTAGTCCAGTGCTCTAACCATTACATCATACTAGCTCCTGTGAATGGCCCAATACATTTTAGCACCTGAGGCGAACCACAAAATGGCACACACACACACACCCCTCACTTCCAGAAAAAAAAAAGTTGAGTGAAAATCTATATCAGGAACAAAGCGGGGGGGGGGGGAGGAATGCTTTACATTGGAATCTGCTGCCCCTGTAGATCCTGCTGTCTGAGGCAGTCACCTTACCTAGTAACCTCATGGGTGGGCCAGCCATGTCTGTCACACAAGAGTGCCTGAATTTGCCAGTATGTAACTGAATCCCAGGATGCGGGTGGCGCTGTGGGTAAAACCTCAGCGCCTAGGACTTGCCGATCGTCAGGTCGGCGGTTCGAATCCCCACGGCGGGGTGCGCTCCTGTTGCTCGGTCCCAGCGCCTGCCAACCTAGCAGTTCGAAAGCACCCCCGGGTGCAAGTAGATAAATAGGGACCTCTTACTAGTGGGAAGGTAAACAGCATTTCCGTGTGCTGCGCTGGCTTGCCAGATGCAGCTTGTCACACTGGCCACGTGACCCGGAAGTGTCTCCGGACAGCGCTGGCCCCCGGCCTCTTAAGTGAGATGGGTGCACAACCCTAGAGTCGGACACTACTGGCCCGTACGGGCAGGGGTACCTTTACCTTTACCTAACTGAATCCCACCCTAAAAGAGTTGCAGTCTGGAATCGCCCTAAGGCTGGGTCATGGAAGAAATGATGAATAGCTCATCAAGAGTGGGAGCTGACTCTTTGAAGAAAAGGATGGTTTGGGGGCTTGAATGCAGGGGTCAGAGTGGAGCGGCAACCTTTCCTTCTGCATCCCCTTGTCATCCTGGTCAGGTTGCTAACTGTACAGCCTTCCCCAACCTGATGCCCTCCATATATTTTGGACTACAGCTCCCATCAGCCCCAGCCAGCATGGCCTGAGACTCTGTCAGATTCACAGGAGAAAAGATGTGTGTGTGTTTATATATGTGTATACAAACATATCAGAGAACGCATTTCTACTGTTGCTTAATGACAATATTCAACACTTCTTGTCCCTCTATTAATTCTCCACT